ATTATACAATAAAAAAGTAGCTTTAAAAAGTGTTACTTCTCCCCAAATTGATGTATAGATCCAATGCAATTCCTATCAAAATCCCAGCAGGATTTTGGGAGAAAGCAGCAAGCTGATCCTAAAAGTTATAGGGAAATACAAAGGACCTAGAAGAGCCAAAACAATTTTGAAAAAGAGCAAAGTAAGAGGACTTACACAGCCTGATTTCAAAACTTACTGTAGCCTTGGCTGGCATGGCTCAGTGGCGTTTTGTAACCGAAAGGTTGAGGGTTCAGTTCCCAGTCCAGGCACATGCCTGGACTGCAGGCTCCATCCCTGGCTGGGGCGCCGGCCAGAGTCTAACAATCAATGTTTCTCACAGCGCTGTTTCTCTCTCTTCCTCTCTCTCTAAAAGCAATGGAAAAATGCCCTTGAGTGAGGGTAAGAAAAAAATTTTTAACTTACTATACATATAGTTACATATACATATAACTATATAGTTACATGTAACACACTATACATAGTTATATATGTAGATATAACGATGATCCATTTTGAGTTATATACTCGAAATGGATCACAGATAGACCTAAATGTAAAATCTAAAAGTAATCAGGCTTTTAGAGAGAAACAGGAAACATTTTTTTGTGATCTTGGGTTAGGTATTGTTCATAAGACACAACACCAAAAGTGTGAGCCAATAAAGGACAAAAAAATGGTAAATTTGACTTCATTAAAATTAAAAAACTTACACTTCAAAAGACAGGATTTCATGCTGGCTGGTGTGGCTCAGTGGACTGAGTGCCAGCCTGAAAGCCAAAGGGTCGCTGGTTTGATTCCAGGTCAGGCACCCGCCTGGGTTGCAGGCCAGGTCCCCAGTTGGGGGTGTGTGAGAGGCAACCAGTCAATGTATCTCTGGCACATTGCTGTTTCTCTCCCTCTCTTCCCCTCTCTCTAAAAGTAAATAAATAAAATCTTTTTTAAAAAGACAGCATTTAAAAAATGAGACAAATCATAAACTGGGAAAAATATAAAAAATGTTATATCTGATAATCCAAAATAAAATACATACGTACATATAAAGTCTTGTATCCATTATATATGAAGTCTCAGAACTCAATAAGAAGACAATTCAATTTAAAAAATGGGCTAAAGAGTCCTGGCTGGTGTGGCTCAGTGCATTGAGCACCAGCCTGTGAACCAAAGGGTCCCTGGTTCAGTTCCCAGCCAGGGCACATGCCTGGGTTGTAGGCCAGGTCCCCAGTTGAGGGCATGCGAGAGGCAAATGATGGATGTATCTCTCACACACGATGTTTCTCTCCCTCTCTTTCTCTCTCCCTTTCCCTCTAAAAGTAAATAAATAAAACCTTTTAAAAAATAGGCTAAGGAGCCCTGGCTGGAGGTGTGGCTCTGTGGATTGACTGCTGGCCTGCAAACCAAAAGGTCACAGTTCAGTTCCCAGTTAGGGCACATGCCTGGGTTTCGGGCCTGGTGCCTGTTGGGGGCGGGGGGCGGGGTGTGAGAGGCAACCGATCTATGTGTATCTCGCACACCCATATTTCTCCCCCCTCTTTCTTCCTCCTTGCCGCTGTCTCTAAAAATAGGTAAAATCTTTAAAAATGGGCAAAAGAGCCCTGGCCAAGTACTCAGTTGGAACATCATCAGGGCTGAGGGTTCAATCCCTGGTTGGTACATATACAAGGAATCAACCAATAAATGCATGGATGGGGGAGCAGCGGGTTGATGCTTCTTTCTCTTTCTCTTTTTTAAAGATTTTATTTATTTTTACAGAGAGGAAGGGAGGAAGAAAGAGAGGGAAACATCAATGTGTGGTTGCGCCTTGTGTGCCTCTGGTGACCTGGCCTGCAGCCCAGGCGTGTGCCCCAACTGAGAATCAAACCAGCGATGTTTCGGTTTCACAGGCTGGCACTCAATCCACTGAGCCACACCAGCCAGGCTGCTTTTCTCCATCTTTATTGTTGGTATTGGGTTGGCCAAAAAGTCTGTTTAGTTTTTTTCCATAAAATGAGAGAGACATTTTTCATTTTCAGCAATACCTTTATTGATTTGGATATTTTGAGTGTGCCGGCTGTCTCCTTCTATTGGTTTCTAGTAGACAGAGGCCAGGGGCGCTGCTAAACATCTTCCAAGGCATAAGACAGTGCACAGCAAAGAATTATTTGGCCAAAATGCCAAGAGTACCAAGAAACTTCACAACCCACTTTTGAGGCGTTTGGTCAGTCACAGCATCTTCTCCATACACTATGCAAATCTCTTTTTGTTTCAGTTGCGTTTTTACCTTTCTTGAAATAACAAAGTACAATATGCCAAAAATGTTGTGTATCTTCTCCCATCTTCAATATTAAAATGGCTGCATAAAAATTCACCAATTCTGATAAGTCCTTTAAAAATGCGTGCTGACACAATGCAATCTAACAAACTTTCTGAGTGAACTTAAAGACAACTAAGTGCTACTAGGGCCATTGGATGGAAAAAACTAAACCAACTTTTTGGCCAACATGGTATCTGAGAAGTCAAGTTCAATATGAACATTTAAGGGATATTTTATGATACTACATTAAGAACTCTTGCTGCAACCGAGATAAAGAGCACAGTGAGGCAAACTACAGAGCAGAAAGGATGGGCCTCCCACCCCTGACAAACGGCTTACAAATCAGACTTGACAGATAACCAGGCAGAAAATGGGCAGAGACTGAAACTTCACAGGACGGGACGGCGCACCAGCCAGGGAGCCTCTGAGGAGCTGCCATCCAACTGGGGACAGAGAAGACGCAGCGATGAAACCCGCTGTCCCCACCCCTCCAGGAGAAGGGCGGACAGAGGGGCATGTGCTGTCAGGAGCCCCTGGGGCCCCAGGAGGGCGTGGCCCCCTAACTACCCAGGGAGGGTTCCCTCGCCTGCTAAGACGCACCCCTTCAGCACCAACAGAAGTGTCTGTCCCCCAGGAGACACGGGCCCGAGAGCCCCAAGCAGCACCTAGGAAACGCCCCGCTGTCCCTGGGCAGGTGGGTCAGTGCGTCCCGTGACCTGAAGGACACAGGGACAGCCGGTTCTAGCTCCACCTGGCTCATCTCACAGACCCCACACTGGTATCCGACAAGCAGCCAGACCCAGCGCTTCTGTGTGCCACCATTTACAGGAAGGTCAGAAACAAACGCGGCTCCTCGGGGAGACCCTCAGCTGGTCAACTAGAAAGAGGCTGGGCAGTGACCAGCCAGCTCACTACGGGGGAGCAGGGACCAGAGCTGGCACCAGAGCCGGCCAGGCAGAGGTGGCAGTTCTCTTCAGAACATTGAGCACTGATGTTACTGCAGAACCCAGAGATTTTACTGCCCCACCCAAGTGGTAAGATCCTGTAAGGGTTTCTCAGACACACAAGCTTGATCGGGAGTCACAGGAATTTCCTGTCCCAACCCTCACGCTCAGCAACCCTCCACCAACCCTCCTTTCCGTGCTGACCTGCAGACACCCTGCTCTAGCCACATTCTCCAGCACAGAGGGCCATCCACAAGGGGAACTTTCCAGAAGGGGCCCCACTGGCCCCAGAACTCCTGCTGAATCTGCACTTTCTACTGTGTAAATGTGTATTTACTCTGTAAATTTCGGGGTGTGGACTTTCTCCCTGGCAGATCTATAATTTCTCAGAAGCTGAGAACCGACCTGGAAAAATATCAAAGCTCAATAAAGGGAGGGAGATAAAGCTGCCTCCCCATATCCTACCTCTGATGAGGCAGGGGAGGGGCAGGGGGAGGGTGCCAGCCCCTGGGCCCTGTAAGTAGCCAACCCAGGGGCCAGGCAGAGCTTTCAGACTCCACGGGGGTCTGCTCCAAGAGCTCCTGCCTGCCTCACCCCCTCCTCTGCCTGCTGTCCATCCAGTTGGACGCAGACCTGTTCCATTTGAGTCCCCTAAACTTCAGTGAAACTTGCTCTCCCGACTCAGCTGTGCCTTCTCTAGTCCCCTCCAAACGCAGGCCCACCAGCAGGGGCAGAGGAGGGACTCTGGTGGGTAGATGCAGCTGAAAGCCAGAGGAAGGGTCCCCCATAGAGGAGGGAAGGGACGGCTTGAGGGCCAGATTGTACCTGGTTTGAGCAGGAAGGACAGAGACGGAGGCTGGCGAATAAGGGCGGGGTGGGGCTCCCTGGGCTCCCACAGCCCTCCTTGCCAGCTGTCCCCTTCTACTTTCTGACCCTGGGCTGACCTCAGGCCAGGCACTGGGCACACATCCCAGCAGCCTATGTACAGAATGGGGTGGTTGTGTCCCTACAGGAGCCTTACAGGACAGCATGGGGGCTCCCAAAGGGCGGAGGCTGGTCCCAAGGCCAGGCCACCCCCCATTCTCTTCCAGGGAAAGCGGCGCCTGCCTGTTGAAAGTAAACACAAGACGGCTGGGCTCTGCCAGGTGGTTTTTTTTTGAGAGCAGGGGAGGGGCAGTGACCAGACACCAGCTGACCCTGAGGTCACAGAAAAAGCCAAGGCTGGGCTGGGCGACTCCACCCAGGCTGTTAGGAAATGGGAAGGGGGTGAGCAGCATGCCAGGGCAGGTGGGCAGGTCCACTGGGAAACGTGGTGGCTCCTGCTTAACCCTCAAACTGCCATCTGCTCAGTGCAGGGGCCCCAGGAGCTGCCCGAGGAAGTCCATCCATGGGCAGGGAAGCTGAGCACGGGGGCCTCCTTTCCTGGATTCCCCAAACCTAGCCAAGCACCAACCCCTCACAGGTTGCTCCGAGGGGCGCCCCCAGCCCCAACCCCTCTCCGACCCCACTGGCCCGACTCTGCTGGCCTGGGCTGGAAGGAGGCGGTGCCGACAGGACAGAGCCCTGCTGGTTCTCAGAGCTGCACCACGGCCCTCCTTGGACCCTGAGGGTGGATTCAGGGCGGATGCAGCTCCCAGTCTCACCCCTCTGCCATCTACTCCCAGGGCACTTGGCCGCCAGACAGGAGGGGGTTAATGGAGCTCAGGGTAGTGGGGATGGGTTGGCCTATGACAGGGTGCTGGCCGCCCTGGAGGTGGGGAGATCCAGAGGGCAGGAAGAGCCAGCCCCCAGCAGACCTGCTGCCTATTTTGCATGCGGGATGGCCCTGAGGAAAGGTGAGGCTCCCTGTGTCCCCAAGCCCACTGGGGCTCTGCAGCCCCCAGGGAAGGCTCAGCTCTGGGAAGGCCTGAACTTTGGGGAGCCCATGGGGGGAATGGGGCTGCAGGGGTGTTGGAGAGTGCAGCTGCACCTGGTCCCAGAGGGTCTCCTTTTCCTCTCCCTGCCTAGGGGCCCAGGACAGCGGCACAAGGGAGGCAGGGGGGGGGTCCTCTGCTGGGCTAGGGCCTGCTGCCCTCTCAGCCACTTGGAAGCCAAGCCACTGCCATCCTGTCCCATCTTGGGGCCCAGCCCCATCCAGCTGCATACAGGGCACTCTCCGGTGCTGCCTCTGTCCCACCCCGAGCTCCCCAAGGGCAGGGATGGGCCAGTGGGGGGGACGGCCCTGAGCCCAGCAGTGCTTCTGGGGCATCGTTGCTGGGGAGCTTGGTGCCCTTTGTCCAGACGAAACCTGACCCTGGTGAGGAGACAGTCTTGGGTCCCTGTCTGCCACCAAGGCCTGCACCCTGTTCCTCTCCCTACGACAGTGCTGGGTCAAGTACCTACCAGGTTGCAGGCTGAACGTGTCTGTCCAGCCTCCAAAGGAAACAAGTGCATACCCACCCGGGGCCAGCTCCAGAATATTCTCTTGATCATGGCTTCCTTTGGGCCCAGATGGCAGCCTGGCCCAGCTTGACTGCCCCACTTTGGGACACAAATGGACACATAGCCTAATTGCCAGGTGACCAGTCCTCAGTTTATTCTGGGACAGTTGTCATTGCCCTGTTAACCCTGTGATTGTTTTGAGCTGGAGAACATCCCAGTTGACCTGCCCACTTTCTGCTTCTGATTTAAGTGGGGCGACCGAATACCTCACTCACTTTTCCCTCATCCGATCAGCAGTGCCTTTACAGTGCCTTGCCGGGGTCTGGGTGTTTAGGTTAAATGGCGGCCCACACGTACAGCCCGAGGCCCGTAAGTTTCTATGCCTCACTCACCCTGGGGTTCGCATCCTGAGCCCCTCAGTGCCGCCTCTCCCCAAGCTCCTCTCCCTGCAGGAGGCCTGGCCCTGGTGGTGTTGCTGGTCTCCTGGGCAGCACTAGGCCCCCGGGGCCTGGAGGGAGTGGAGCAAGGAGCACCAGGGGACACCGAGGGCCTGCAGTGCCCGGTCGTCTGCACCTGCGGCCACGATGACTTCACGGAGGAGCTCAGCGTCTTCTGCAGCTCCCGGAACCTCACACAGCTGCCTGACGGCATCCCAGATGGCACCAGGGCCCTGTGGCTGGATGGCAATAACTTTTCCTCTATCGCTGAGGCAGCCTTCCAGAACTTCTCTGGCCTGGGCTTCCTCAATCTGCAGGGCAGCGGGCTGGCCAGCCTGGAGTCAAAGGCGCTGCTGGGCCTAAAGAACCTGTACCACCTGCACCTGGAGCGGAACCAGCTGCGCAGCCTCGCAGCCGGCACCTTCCTGCACACACCAGGTCTCGCCTCCCTCGGCCTCAACAACAACCTCCTCAGCAGGGTGGATGAGGGCCTCTTCCAAGGCCTAGCCAATCTCTGGAACCTCAATCTGGGCTGGAACAGCCTGGCTGTGCTTCCTGACACCGTGTTCCAGGGCCTGGCCAACCTGCGTGAGCTGGTACTCGCAGGCAACAAGCTGGCTTACCTGCAACCCCCACTCTTCTGCGGCCTCGGCGAGCTCCGAGAGCTGGACTTGAGCAGGAATGCTTTGCGAAGCATCAAGGCCAACATCTTTGTCAAACTGCCCAAGCTCCAGAAGCTCTACCTGAACCACAACCTCATTGCTGCTGTGGCCCCAGGCGCCTTCCTGGGCCTGAAAGCACTGCGCTGGCTGGACCTGTCACATAACCGTGTAGGTGGCCTCCTGGAGGACACTTTCCCAGGCCTGCTGGGCCTACACGTCCTGCGCCTGTCACACAATGCCATCACCAGCCTGCGGCCTCGGACCTTCAAGGACCTGCACTTCCTGGAGGAGCTGCGGCTGGGCCACAACCGCCTCCGGCAGCTGCCAGACAAGGCCTTTGAGGGCTTGGGCCAGCTGGAGGTGCTCACACTCAACCACAACCAGATCCAGGAGGTCAAGGCCGGGGCCTTCCTCGGCCTCTTGAATGTGGCTGTCATGAACCTCTCTGGCAACTGTCTACGGAACCTCCCAGTGAGATTGTTCCAGGGCCTGGCCAAGCTGCACAGCCTGCACCTGGAGGGCAGCTGCCTGGGCCGCATTCGCCAGCACACCTTCACTGGCCTCTCGGGGCTGCGCCGGCTCTTCCTCAAGGACAATGGCATCACAGCCATTGAGGAGCAGAGCCTGTGGGGGCTCCCCGAGCTCCTGGAACTGGACCTCACTTCCAACCAGCTCACGCAGCTGCCTGGTCAGCTCTTCCAGGGCCTTGGCAAGCTGGAATACCTGCTCCTGTCCCACAACCAGCTGTCGGCGCTGTCCGCAGAAGTCCTGAGGCCCCTGCAGCGTACCTTCTGGCTAGACATCTCGTACAATCATCTGGAGGCCCTGCCGGAGAGCATCCTCTCGCCACTGGGGCGGCTGCGCTACCTAAGCCTCAGAAACAACTCCCTGCGGACCTTCGTGCCACAGGCCCCTGGCCTGGAGCGCCTGTGGCTGGAGGGCAACCCCTGGCATTGTGGCTGCCCTCTCCGGGCCCTGAGGGCCTTTGCCCTGCAACACCCCACGATTGTACCCCGTTTTGTCCAGGCTGTCCCAGAGGGGGACGACTGCCAGCCACCTGTGTACACCTACAACAACGTCACCTGTGCCAGCCCGCCCAGCCTCTTGGGACTTGACCTACGCGATGTTGGCGAGGACCACTTTGCTTCCTGCTGACCCAAGTCTTGTCCAGGCCAGATGCCACCATGGAGCCAGCACGAGCTCTCAACCATCCCCAGAGCCTGGTGGGTGCCAGGTGCCCCACCCCTCAGCTCCCAGGGCCCACACTGCTCACTTGTTGGGGGTCTCTTCCTCAGGGAACACACAGGCCCAGGGGTTTCGCCGGCATGGGCTCAGGACCCGTGGGTGCTGACCTGGTCCCTGAGGGGCCAGATCAGGAGGGTTGGGGGCCCAACCCTCCCCAGCTGTCATCCATTAAAAGCAATGTTATAAACCCTGCCTATGACCACAGGGGTGAAAGCAGGAGAGGGGAGTGGAGCGTCACCCTGTGTACCTGTGGGATCCCCTCCTGACGCCAGCTCAGCCCGCACCCCCTTCTCCCCTCCCTCAGCTTTGGACTCCCTTCACACCCTCCCACGCTGGGTCCCCCCGGATGCCTGCCTCCGCCGGAGGAGCGGAGTGCGCCCACGCAGGCTCCCTTCAGGCAGTGTTCCGGGAGGCAACCTAGTCCCGGGAAGCCAGAGCACGGCACAGGGAGCCTCTGCTCCAAGCGGCTCAGTGGTTAATGTCACCCGGGGCCAGAGTGCATGCCAGTCCTCTGTCTAGACCCCTACTCCTGGCCAGAGCCCTTAATGGCACTTCCTTCTCCCCCTACTTTCTTCCCCTGGCACAGGGCCCTCCCTCAGTGCCCCAACACCCCCAGGACACTTCCTGGACACTACCTAAGATGCCTCCCCAGACCCCCTGCCACCCTCACCCCAGAGCTACTACATCTTCTCTGCTGACAGCCCTTCTTCCCTGGGAAAGAGTGGCATTCCTGCCATGGCCTCTGCTTTCCAGAACGGTCTCCTCTCCTGCCCTCCTGGGACTGACTGCATTTCACACTCACCTCTTCCGCTCACTCTGCCCCCAGGTCCCCGCGGTGTGGAGGGCGGGCAGCAGTCAGCACTACCGGCTGGCCGAGGCCCCCGCGCGCACGTTTCTCTGACAGCAGTTTCCCCTGCAAACTCCATTCGAACACATCCCCACCCTAGTCTGCACAGGCCTGCTGAGAACTGAGCTACTGGCCCGGCCCCGGGACTCAGGGTGCGCCCCGTCTGCTCTAGGGCACGGCCACACGCTAAGGCAGAGGCAGGACCCAAGTGGAATGACCTGGAAATATCAGACCTGTAACCATGGTGGCAGGACACATTTAATCACAGGCACCTCTGAAGCTAACACTGTACAGGGTGCTGTTCCCTTCCGCAACTACCATCACGGTCGCTCACATCCCCACTGGCAAGACAGTGTCTGCGGGTGACAAAGTCCCTGCCGGCCTCCAGACCCACAAGCTTTGTGGACAGCATGGAGACTAGGGTATCAGGTGAGGCCTGTCTGAGGCACATGAGTACCATGACATGAAAGAGAGTGTGCAGGCACCAGAACTGCCTAGTGCAGCCAGACAGCTAGTGCAGGCACTAGGACCTCATGCTGTCCCCTGGGGCCTGCCACAGACCAACCCAGCAGAACCACTCACTGTCAGCAGCTCTGGTGCCCAGTTGCTGCTGAAGTGCCTGGTCAGGGAGAGGTGCGCACAGGAACCACGCCCAGGACCCAGGCTAGAGGGTCCTGCTTTGTGAGCTTGAGCCCCACAGTGGCGCCAGGAAGAGATGTCTCAGTCAGGAAAGCTGGGCAGGTGTCTCCTTCACAATCTTCTGGGCTATGGCAGAGAGGGCGTGGAAGGCAGGGCTCTGAGGGAACTCCTGGATGAAGTCTCGGCCCTCCTCCAGGCATCTTGTGAGCTCGGGGTCCAAAGGCACAGAGCCTGTGAAGAGAGGAAAGGGGGCCAGGGAAGGGGTGAGGTGGTAACAGCGAAGCCTGGGAGGCCACGTCCACACACCTCCCACGGCCCGAGGGCTGCTGTCAGCACTGCTTTAGCCCAGAGCAGACACTGTTGGTCTCACTCTGGCTGAGGTGCCTGGAAAGGCTCTTAGGCTCAATTTCCACCCGGACAGCCACCAGCCCACCCAGCAGGCCCAGTTCTGCCGCCTCGGACCCTGCCCCCTTGCAGAGAGTGCAAGGCGAGCACTGGGAACATGTGGCCACGCACACAGAGGCGCTCCCAGAGCCAGAGCCAGAGCTGTTCTCCTGCTCTGAATGGGGTCTCGGCAGGCATCAGCCACTGCCACTCAGAGCCTGGGGGGCGATGCCTTTCCCTGAGGCCGTTTCTTTCCAGTTGGTCGGCAGTGACTGGCATTAGAGATGAACTGATACCCACAACCTGAGAAAGATGAGTGGACATGGCTGCCCTTATCTTTCCCCTTCTTGGGCAGGAGGCGCAGGCAGGTGGGACCACCTAGGGGCCCAAGGGGCAGCCCTGACCCTCTCACCTAGGAAAGGGACTCCAGCGTGTTTGGCCAGCTCCTCGCCGCCTCCCCTGGAGAAGACGTTGGTGCACTCCTAAGACAGAGGCGCAGGGTCCACCTGAGGATTCTTCACACTCGGGGAGTGGGGTCCGGGCCCAGGGAGCAGGGTGGGGAGGTGTGGCGCGGCACCCTCTCCCCCAGCATCACCCCCACGTCCTGCGGGTGGCTGCCCCGCAACTTGCCGCGACTTACTGTGCAGTGTGGGCAGACGAAGCCGCTCATGTTCTCCACAACACCAATCACCCGCAACCCTGTCTTCCTACAGAATGTCAGTTCCCGCCGCACGTCCCCCACAGATACTGCCTGCAACCAGGAAAGAGCAAGGACAAGCCAGTGGGAATCCTGAACAGTCACCCAGATGAGCATAAAGCGCAGGGAGAGATGCCTGCCTAGGGGAGGTGGCGCACAGAACACGGAACAATGCCCTGCAGTACCTGGGGTGTAGTGACCACAACAGCCCCCAGAGGGCTATAGGGGCGAAGGGCGTCCAAGGCAGCCATGTGCTCGTCAGAGGTTCCCGGAGGCGTGTCCACAACCAGGTAGTCCAACTGCCCCCAGGCCACGTCAGATACAAACTGCTTTATCAGAGCTGCAAAGTCCCAGGCAGGACAGAGGTCTCAAAACGGTCTCCACCTGGCCTCCGGTGCCGCCTCTGGTGCAGAGCCGCCTCTGCTGACGTAGTGAGCACGAGGGCTCCAGGCGCTCCTCACCCAGAGCGGGGAGCACGAGGAAGCAGCGAGCACGCCCATTCCTGCCCCCAATTACCACCCCCTTCTTCTCAGCAGTGGCCACCCCACCCCACAGGACTTCTGCTCAGGCCTCAGTAAAGGCCAGCTGGAGCTGTGACCCTCTTGGGACGCCTGTGTAGACCCCTCACAGCCCAAGAGGAAATGATGTTGAGTGGAGCAGCCCCTGCCCTGTGCCAGATTGCATACACCTGCTGCCTCAGTGCCAGCTGGAGGGGGCTTAACACCTCCAGCAGGTGAGGCATAGGAGCCCAACCTTGGTACCCCCTGGCACCCAACACACACAGGTTGGGCTCGGGTCTGAGCAGACCAGAGGGGGAGAGGACTCTATTGTGAATGGCCACAGAGCTATCTTGCCCTCCTGGCCCTTACCAGCCACGTGGACACAAATACCACGCCTGTGCCTAACTGGTCAAGTGAGCAGCGGGAGGCCTGTGTGGCGGGGGGAGCCAGCAGCCCCAGGCTCTTGCTCGGCTTTTTAATTGAACATCGAGGGATCAACTGAGGGAGGCCGGAAGGCTGACAGCTCAGTCCCCTGCCTGGACATTACCATTCTTCTTGGGGCCTCTCCACACCACAGCCTCATCTGGCTTCTCGAGCAGGAAGCCCACGGACATGAGGGAGACACTCTGCTCCTGGTCCACAAAGACAGGCACCCAGCCACTGTCGCACTGGTGCACGGCCCTGCCCTGCGCCTGGAGCATGCGGGGGATGCTGGGGCCACACAGGTCCACGTCGAGGATCCCCACCTGCAAGGAGCCAGGATGTGCACTTGGTGTGTGGGGGTCTCCCAAGGCAGGAAGAAACCAGCTGGCTTCCCTGTGTGTCCACCCACAGGGGAAGGGGCAGGAGTGGTTCGGAGGGGACAGGTACTGTGGTTGAGGGTGGGAGGTGCTCACCTTTTTGCCCATGTGACGCAGGGCCAGGGCCAGCTCCGCAGAGATGGTGCTTTTCCCGACCCCCCCCTTTCCAGAGAGGATTAGGATGATGTGCTGGACACCAGCCAGGTTTCCAGACTCTGCTCAGGAGGATAAGAGAAGAGACTCTTCACACGGATGCTTTTCACCGCCCGCTCACCGGGTAACGGCACGCCTCCTCCTGTGTCCTGAGTCCTGAGACCACGGCAGTGCTGAGACCTGCCCCTTCACTGGAACATCTCCCTGCAGGCCCAGACCCGCCCCACTGGCTCCTCCAATGCTGCTGCTCCCCCTCTTGTCTGAAATGCCCCAAACTGCTCCTCATTCTAATACATGCACTGCAGCGAGGCAAAGACTGCCGGCTCCCTGCTGATTCAATGGAAACAGTGCGCCCCGCTCACTCATCTGGGGTCAGAGGTACTCAAGGCAGCCTTGGACTCCAGTTCTCAGGAGGGACCTTGCAGCTCTGGGGACCAATCATATGTGCGTGTGAATGCTGGTGTCACCTGGCTGCCAGCCGTGCCTTAAGAAACACTAGGTACACGAGGGCGGCCACAGGGTGTCCCTGCCTCCTTTACTGACTCCCACAGGCCCTGGGCCTCACAACTCTGTAGAGTTGGCAGCCAACCACTCTGACTCAGCTCTCTTCCTACCAGTGAGCCCCAAATAAATATTTACCAACTCAATACCTGCTGCAGGCAGGCGTTACCATCTGTATTCATACAACCCTTAGCCCCTCTACAACACCCCCTTGTCCTGGCCTCAGCACCCTGAGGACCTCACTGCACCTCTAACAAGCTGCTTTCCCCACCACCCTCCCCACACGCGGACAGGGCTCAACCATCAACCCAGAAACAGTCTTCCTCCTGATCCACCACACCTCAAGGACCTGTTCAAAGGCTCCCACCTCCAAAGCCTCCCTAACAAGAACTCAGAGGGTGCCTACCCTGGCTTTTGGTGGCAGTTCCTTGTCACCAGTGGCCTTCCTAAATATGCTTCCGGCACCTGGGGCTGGGGCATCTTGTAAGGTGACAAGGAAAGGACACAACCCCAAACAGGATGACTGCCTGCAAACAGGAAGCTCCAGACCATGGCTTGAGGTCACCCCAGTGGCAATTTAAAAGCTTAACTGCTTTAACATCAAAAGGTATTTGGGAATCAACTTCGCTTTCGTTCAGATGGAGAGCAGGGCTCAGGTGGAAACAAATGCCAGATGTGGGTCCTAGTCCAGTCAGTTCAGTCAGCCCCTAATCACGAGGATGCAGTTTCCTTCCTCGTGGGAATGGGGCATTTCAGCCAAGAATCAAACAGGACACTCACTCTCTTCTGGTAACAGGGAGGACTTCTCAGACAACAATCCTCAGGGGTTAACCACCGAACCTTTAACTCCTAAGCAAACTACCAAGTTCCTACTGCAGGTGAGAGTTTGTGCTGGAGGCGGTTTCTCCGCTCAGAAGTGAGGAGCCCCTTGAGGGAAACGTGTCCTGCTCAGACTCAGCTGTAAGTCCAACCAACGTTAAGTCCAACCGATCACAATTATTTGATACACTGGACAAGTTTGTAGCTCTTTATATGTAAAGAATCTTTCTAGAAAGATACAAGTAACTGACCCTAGAGAATCCTTCTGGGCACAGAGAAATCAAGCTTGTTTTTCTGTATACCTGGTTAGGCCTTTTTATTTTTATCTGCATCTTCCCCTAGTTAAAATAGCAACTAGCTCTTCTTAATACAACTAATCAACCTAAAAGATATTCTTTCCTTTTAGCAAGTCTGCCCTTTCATATTTTTCCCTCCAGTGTTATGCTTATAATCTGACAGATGAATCCACCATATAAGAGCTTAGTAACCCAAAGTACCAGACTAGAAGTCTTTCAAAAAATAATGTGGCAAACCCTTAATTATAAAAGTCTATTTTAGTTAATCTAAGCAAATCTGATTATATCCACTGGTATTCCGTTCAACACAACTTTTACTTTTTCAAGTATTAAGGTTTAGAAAACTAGAATAAAACTCCCCAAAGTAATTTAAAAGTATGTGATGTTCTGGTGTCTTTTTATAACCTCGTATTTAAACGACTTCTTCCTGTTTTCTTGCGGCATCACCAAATCAAAAAAACCATGGCATAAATCGGGGAAGTATTGTGTTTTTACTGACAAACGGCATACGTGCTTTTCCTGAGTTTCCCTGTTTTCCTCGTTCCCGAGCAGCGTTGCGGTTACACGAAAACTTGTAACTTGATGACGATACACGCATAAGTACACGTGCGTCTCCTTTTCACTGCAAATAAAACAATTCGCTACCCACCCAGAGTTCCGACCAGCAGATGCGGGACGACTTCTTCCCGCTACCTCCACTAACCGCACACTCACCCGCCGTTGCCTCCATCCTTACCGCAGGTGGCAAGCCCGCCCTCCGCGCCGTAGCTCTCTCTCCCCCTACCTCCAACCAGAGTGTAGACCCAGTGGGCCAATGGGTAGTTCGAGCCCATCCCCTTTTTTTGCTACTCCCTAGCCAATCAAATTGCACAAAGGATGTACGCAGTTCCGGCGCGGACGCCGTACCGGAGGTGAACACACAGCCTTGTCAACCCCTTGAGTGTGGGGCAGCATCCCCACCTCGCCCTTCGTCTTGTGGGTGGGCGGGTGTTGTCTCCGATAGCTTGAGATATGACCAATGAGAATACGGAGTCAAGATTGACAGGTTCAGCAGCCTCCTAGCAAGAGGCGCGGGCCGCGCGGCTGGCCAGAGCCCAAGGTCCGGAGTGCCCGCCTGCGGCTGTTTGGCCAATGCGATGCAGGGGGTGGGGATTGTTTACGTCTAGCTCGGGAGCGGAAAGTGGGTCACGGCTGGCGGCCACAGTGGAGCAGTGCAGGTGAGACCGGGTCGCGTCTGCGTCTCCCCGCCCGCCCGCCGGGGAGGACCGTGGCCCTACGGGACCCCCGGCGGCGGAGCCCAGCCGAGCATTTGTTCTCGCGGCCGGCGCTGGGGCGGGGCGGACGGAACGGGCTGGCCCACACGGTAGGCCCGCCTCGCAGCGCGGGGAGGAGCCGCAACGCTGACCGAAACTGGAATTAGTAGGAGTCCTCCTGCTTCCAGGCCGGGGACAGTCTCGTACGCTGGTCACTCCGCGTGTATCGCGTGGCGCCTACTGGGCGCTGCAGACGCAGCAGATGGTGACTAGGCCGGCCGACTGGAGCCGGCTGATGGACGGGCTCCGACACGCAGGTGAAGGAGCGGTGCAGCGCCGTTGCTGGAGGGAGGGGAATCTGGTTCTGCAGACGGCGCTCCCGACCCTGGAAAGCAGTGCCTACGCTGATTCACCAACAGCACAGGCCTGTGCCTGGAGGGGTCCTCACTGAGGAACAGTCCCTGACCTCCTGGGGGGTTCAGTTCAGGGGACAGCGAGGCAGTAGATAATCACGGAAGTCGAAGTGTTACTGTGAGTCGGCTGCGGAAGCTGAGAGTCAAAGAGGGCAGAGGAAGGCATTCTGGCAAAGGGAGGGGAAGAGGTAGCGATTAGGACAAAGCCACTGCAGATTGGAGAAGACCAAGAGAACTTGATAGGCTTTGGGGGATTTTTTTCTTTTATTCTAAGAACAGTGATAAGCCCTGAGAAGTTTGAAGATTTGTTAAGATTTACTTAAATGTTCAAGACTTATTTCAAAAACAGCTTGACTATAGGGAGTGAAGTGGGTGGGGTGGGGTATGTGAGGGCCCTTAGGCCATGGTAGGAAGGAGGAAGGCAGGTAGGTGGGTGGGAGAGGGGTGACGGCTATGAGTCTGGCATGAGGAACTTGGAGGTTGGAGATGCCATTTGTCAAACTGTACAATGAAGGAGGAGCCAGGTGAGATTTGAGATGCCTGAGGGCCATACAGCTGCCCACCTGGACTCCTGAGGCTGAGCTCAGAGCTGGGCTGAGATATGTATTTGAGAGTCATGGGTGTCTGGGTGGCCTTTCACACTCTGTACCTAGGTCTCATCAAGATGCTTGGACACTGGAGTGAGGTAGGAACTTCTGCGGAGAGTTCCGGGGCCTCAGATTGGTACCTACTTGGCTCAAGAAACCCTCCACCTTCGTAGGGAGGTGGTCTGGCACAGCTGGCCAAGGGACAGATGCCGGGGTTGTTGGGAGACCTTCCAAGTGCTGGGTGTTTTCTTTGCTCAACACCTGTTTCCTCCCAGATACTGTCCACCATGGCCAGGCGCCCCCGGAGCAGCAGAGCATGGCACTTTGTCCTTAGTGCAGCCCACCGAGATGCAGATGCCCGGGCCATGGCTCTCGCAGGGACCGCTAACCGCAGCTATGACTCGGACGGGCAGGTGAGTGGGTACTACTGGAATAAAGTGAGGAGACCCCCGAGGCAGGCTTTCCCCTGGTGTAGTAGGACCCTACTGCTCACCCTGGGTTTGCCCTGGTTAAGCACCCACACGACCCTGAGGTGACAGGACCTCCAGACAGACACCACATTCCTGTTTATACTCTTTGCACTGGAGAGGGTGGCAGTTAGTTTTTTTGGTCAGCTCATTCAACAGAACATCTCCATTCCATTTCTCAGCCTGTTTCCAAAGGTCGCTGCTGTTAACTCCATGTTAGCCTCCTGGACAGTTCCTCTGTCTGTACAGATGTGTTCTATATTTGTGTGTATGCATGTAAAAAAGATACTGTCTTGAAAACTACAATTCTGGTGCCTTTCCTCACTCAGCCACCTCCAAGTTCAGGTTGGAACAGCAGCCCAGCCACTTGTCTCAGTGCAAACTGCCTGATGTACCCAAGGCTCTGTAGCTGGAGGCTGACCGTTCCCACCCTGTGAATGGCCGGGCTGCGTGGCTTTTGCGCCCATTGCTAGGTGACTGGCAGGTGGATTCTCAATCACCTTCCAGAATCTCGAATCAGAGCAGGGGGTTGGCTCTGCCTTGAGTCACCTCCACCATTTCCTGCAAGGCTGATCTTTGGGTGACTTGTCTGTGCTTTGTCACACCCGCTCTGCATGTTGCCCTGGCTCAGCCAGGCATTCGGGGACGGGGAAGTGCATACCTCTCCTCCCTAGAGTGAGGGCTTAGCCCTATGGAACTGCTAGGCCTTAAAGGAGAATTGGAGGCAACTATTCTGGGTTGATAGCATTCTGGGGCCTCCCCAAAATCCCTGCCCAGGCCAGCTAGAGACCCAGGCCTGCATTCCTGTCCGGCCTCCAGCTCCTGTCCTGACCATGTGGCCTGCAACAGTCTGTGTTCCTGCGTCTGTCCCTGCCCCGCTGGCTCATCACTCTGGGATGCAGGCAGTGTTGTGGGGCTGGGGTACTGTGTTTGACACATGCCTGTGTGCAGCCAGCCCCATCACCTAATTGGTCTGGAGTGCTTGGGTGTGTGGGCTGATGGGTGTGTCATCCTAGCATCTTTGAAGGCTGAACACAGATGTCTCCCTTCCCTTCTGCCCTTATTATGGCTTGCCCTGGGACTGGGTCTGTCGTCCACCCAGACTGACCTCCAGGCCTACAGTATTCAGGTCTGCACCCAGGCTTCTGACTCTGAGAAGGGACTTGTGTCTGGCTGATGGTATGCTGCCTTGGCTTTGGGGGAATCACCATTCCATACTAGTGGGGTGATTTGGGCTTGATTCGTCTCCTTTCTGGGCTCTGACTTGGGTTCAACCCCCTTAGTTCAGTCTCTGGTTGATTCACAGGCTTCTATATGGGCCCTGGGCATAATAGGAAAGTAAGGCCAAGGCTCTTCCCCAGCAGAGCTTCAGTTTTGGTGGGAGGAGACAGATCAGCAGGACAAATGAGCCTGTTGGAGGAGAGATGAGAAGGAAGAGGACCCAGGAGGGAGAGCTAGAGGAACATCTTTGAAGTGACATCTGAAAGCTGCCATTGGGGGCAGAGACTTCCCCTGTGACAGATTGGGGGCAAGGGAATGAGCCTAGTGAGCTTTGATGGAGAGTGTGGCATATTCTCAGGGTTGCATGAGTTGCCCTAGGACTCAGCGAGGTCACCTGGGCTGATACATAGAGGGTATTTCAAGGAGGCAAGAGGAACCACCAGAGACTAGTGTGGAGGCGGGAGCCGACCAGGCCCCTGGGCCATCCCGAGAGGGCGGCAGAGCAGGCAGGCAGAAGCTGTCTGTACCTTCTGGGTCCTGGTCAGTGGGGACCCCGGGGTCAGCCTGGGGTCCAGAGCCAGGGCGGGTGTGAGAGGGGCCTGTGTGGCTTTGGAGCAGTAATGACTAGTTGCACAGCGCATCTTGCTGGCCTCCAGGAGAAGGTGGGTCACCAGAACCTGATGAGCTCGGCTTGGGATTAAGCCCAGGATGGAGCCCCCCAGGTAGAGGGCCAGGCACCCAGTGAATGTTTTTCTGTGACAGAGGGTTGAAGGAACAGCATGAAACCCCTGGGCTTGTTAGGGGCTAAGGGCCACCACTTGCAGGGTGACGAAAGAGCTGCAGCCTTGGGATGTGTGCAGGTAACTGCCACAGTTAGGAGTTCCAGTCAGGCCCGGCTTCCGCCTGTGGGGAGATCTGGGATTGCCTTCACTACATCCCAGGGGCTTTGCCAAGAGGCTCCCCTCCTTCAGGCCACCCTTGGTGGGTCCTTGGCTATTCCATGCTATTGAAGCCACTTGGAGACTGATGGCCAAGCAGGAAGCCCTGCTGTGGGCTCACCTGGGCCTGGGCCTCCAGGCCCCCTGGGATATGCAAGAACTGGGTTGAGTCCTTAAGCTCACTCTTGGGAAGCTCGTGGTCTGGTGGGCCTTTGGGAAGGAGGCCCTCCCAGTTCCTGAGCCAGGTGGTAACCAGGGCCACTTGGGGGCGCTTGTAGAAGTGTGGGCCCGCAGTGCACCGGGGACCTGGGGAAGCCCTTTGAGACCAGACTCCCAGATCTTTCCTTGGGGCCCCAGAGCAGTTCGTCCGTTGGCCTGTGCTCAGCACGGCAGGTGGGTGCAGGGGGCACAATGTGGAACAACCTGCCTTCCTTTCTCAGCACAGTGACTCTGACTCTGACCCTGAGTACTTGTCCCTGCCGCCATCCATCCCCAGCGCTGTCCCTGTGACGGGCGAGTCCTTCTGCAACTGTGATAACCAGAGTGAAGCCTCCTTCTGCAGCAGCCTGTACACGGCAGCCCACCGGGGCAGGGACTGCCGCTGTGGGGAGGAAGATGAATGTAAGCGCCTGGCGTGGGGTAGCCAGGGCTGGCTGAGGCAGGCCTCTGGGGCTGGGTGAGGAGGGCCCAGCAGGGCCCAGAAGACTGCCCCCACCTGGCCTTTCCTCTCCCAGATTTTGATTGGGTCTGGGACGACCTGAATAAGTCCTCAGCCACCCTGCTGAGCTGTGACAACAGGAAAGTCAACTTCCATGTGGAGTACAGCTGTGGCACGGCGGCCATTCGAGGCACCAAGGAGCTGGGAGAGGGGCAGCACTTCTGGGAGATCAAGATGACTTCCCCCGTCTATGGCACTGACATGGTAAGTTGGTGGCAGGGCAGGGGATGGGCAGGGGATGTTGCCGGGTGCCCCCGGTCCTCTCTGCCCAGCCTATGGTCCCCAGATGGTGGGCATCGGGACATCAGATGTGGACCTGGACAAGTACCACCACACGTTCTGCAGCCTACTCGGCAGGGATGAGGACAGCTGGGGCCTCTCCTACACAGGTGCGTGGAGTCCCTACAGCCAGGCAGGTTGAGAGGAGCCCCCATGCCTCAGAGCTAACGACCCCCCCTTCCCCCCGCTGTCCCCCAGGGCTCCTCCACCACAAGGGCGATAAGACGAGCTTCTCCTCACGGTTCGGCCAGGGCTCCATCATTGGTGTGCACCTGGACACCTGGCATGGGACACTGACCTTCTTCAAGAACAGGAAGTGCATCGGTAAGGGGGTCAGGGTTCCAGGGGAGACACGTGCCTGTGGGGGGGTTGCTCTTACTGAGGTACTGCAGGAAGCAGAGACGGGGCCAGGCCGAGCAGCCTCAGGGCTCCCATAAAGGTGTCCTCGGAGAAAGAAATCTAAGGTCCCAAGGTCTCCAGAAGGTGGGTCAGCACAAACGCCACCTGTTACCCCAGGAGGGTGTCCAAGGAGTGGCTGAGTCCCCTCCTGGCCCAGGTTTCAGACCATGCCTCCTCCTCTAGGAGTGGCAGCCACCAAGCTGCAGAACAGGAAGTTCTATCCGATGGTGTGCTCCACGGCAGCCAAGAGCAGCATGAAGGTCATCCGCTCCTGTGCCAGCGCCACCTCCCTGCAGTACCTGTGCTGCCACCGCCTGCGCCAGCTGCGGCCCAACTCTGGGGACACACTTGAGGGCCTGCCCCTGCCACCTGGTCTCAAGCAGGTGCTACACCACAAGCTGGGCTGGGTCCTGAGCATGAGCTGTGGCCACCACAAGTCCCCTGTGCCCTCACCCAAGGCCACAGCCAGTCCCAACAGCCCAGAGACCCGGCTCTACCAGAGGAAGCGCTGCCGAAGGACCTAACTTATTTTCCAATGAAAACTGCCTTCTGAGGCTGAGGTGGCATTTTCTTCATCCTTTCCCTCAGGCTGTGCTCCAGGTAACAGGAGAGGGAGGAGTTGAGCCCAGGTCTGCCTGGGCGCGCTCTGCCATTGGAGGCTGGGACAGGCCTTGCCACAGGGGCTCAGGGGCCATAGGCCCTGGGATCCTGATACCAGGACTGTCTGAGTCCATCTGCTTCCCGTGCCAGGTGTGGGAGCCACTGCTTCCCTCCTTAGAATCTCTTAGGAGTCACCCCCCAGCCCTTCTGGACTGAGTGCACAGGCCGGGAGGCGTGGTCCATGGCCCGGTCTGAGGTCGGCCTTCCTGTAGCCGCCAGCCTCGGGGAACCTTGGGTTTGTCCTCACTTGCTCTGCATGTCATCAACTGTTTCTCCTGTCCAAGACTGAAACAATCGTAATAAACTTAAGAGTTTATGCCTGCCATCTCCATAGTGGTAGAATGAAAAGGAATCCACCTTGAGACCTGGGTTCCCAGGTGCTCGCAGCTTTTCTCCCGTGGTTCTGGTGGTGTGGCCTGGTTCCCTTCCTCCAGAACTTTTTCACACCTTTCCTCTCTGAAGGCGCCGCCCCCAAGCCTCCAGGTGACTGGTACTTGTCCCCCAGCAGAAACATGGGTGCTCCCCAGCCCTGCCCCCAGCCTCACCAGCACGCCATCTGGAGAGACACTGTTAATTCCAGAACCTTTCCTGCTACCTGTGCCCCCCTCGGGTTCAGACCTGATGGAGAGCCCCTCCCCAGGCTGAGGGACAGGTTGTGCTAGGTGACGGCTCTCCCCCTCACCCTTTCTGGTGTCTGGTCACTCCCTGGCTGGGCTGCCTGCTGTCCTGCTGGTGGCAGAGAAGGCCCTGTAGGTCGTGCTGGCATGGTCAAGAGCTCAGATCCAGCAGGAGGTCAGGGTTGGTGGAGGTCAGGAAGAGGCAGATTCGGCGAGAAAGGTCGGGCCCCACCCTTCGAAGCCGACCACTTCCATCCACCTTCACGGGAAGGTCAGCTAGGAGGGCCATGCGCTCTTGCTCGGTGCTGCAGCCCAGGTAAGCCTAGGTTAGGCACAGTGATGAGCAGGGCAGGCCACAGGGACCTGGCCTCCACATCTGGGAGCCGGGGGTGGGGGTGGGAGAGGGCTCACCTGCTGCAGAAGGCGGGGTGATGGGAAGGCAGTGACAACAGCATCAGCCACTGCCGGGCTGACCCGGTTGAATTGCCTGATCTGCCGCCACCAGGCCCCCCGAAGCCCTGTGCCATCTCTTGTCACTCGCTCACCTGCCACCCAGCGCCTGGCTGTGCAGAAGGAAAAGGCCTTGGACTCCTGGAACCGCCTGAGGATGGGGCAGGGTGTACAGGGAGGTTTCTAGAGGCTTCATCTCCTGATCATACAGGTCCCCAGCAGCCACCCCTCCGAGTGTTCTGCCACCCTCCTGGTATCAGCTATCAGCTGGGGTAGGGGTCACGCACTTGAAGGGGCGCTGGGCTAGGGCCTTGGTGAAGGCGCACACACGCTGGCTCAGCTCCTGCCAGGAGGCCACCAGCAGCACGTCCAGGTTCGCCCAGAGCTGCAGCAGCACCAGGGCCTGAGGAAGACGTACCCACAGGGGTGGGTCAGAGAAGGGGTCCCCTGGGGGACACCCAGCTGGGACCATCCCCACATGTCTTCCTGTGACCAAACCCAGCAGCTGGGCCTCAGACCGGCCTGAGTGTGAGGGCCAAGGCCAACCACCTCACCCAACCTGACCTCTCACCTCCTCCACCTCAGGCCAGCCAACCACCACCTTGGCACGAGCCACGCCTGGACTCTCTGGCTGCTGCATCTCCTGGGCATTGGGCTGGCGAGACCTGCACAGAGATGACTGTCCCTCCAGCTCCCTGTACCCCATTGGGCCCACCCTTCTCCCGTTCCACTGCCACCCATGGGAGGAGTTTAGCCATGTCACAGTAGCCGCAGAGCTACCCTGACCTTTTCCCTGAACTGCCCACCCAACCAAGCCTGCTAAGGGTATGAGAGTGGCCCAATACCACAGGTAGGCATCCAGTCCAATGACAGCCAGGTGGGGGCAGGTGCAGCTCTCAGGAGAGATCCAGGGCACTGAGCAGGTTGGGCCACAGATCTGCAAGTTAAGAAGACTTATCACACCTGTTCTTCAGGGCTGTGGCAGGCAGGGCTCGTGGGCCACCAGGCCACTGCCAGTTTGCAGAAGGATGGGAAGCAAGAAAGGCTTAGTGGTGCTGGGAGGAGACTGGAGCAAACTTTCTCTTCCCAGCCAGCTCTCTTTAGAAAACCAGCTGTGTGCATACCATGAGGTCAAGGAGACCTATGAAAGCCTGGGGGCGTGCCCCAGACTCCTAAAAAGATTTGAGCTCAGTCCCTCTTCCTATTCCTGATCTACTCTGCACCACAGCTTGGCATTTGCCTGGCAGCAGGTGGTTGATAAATGTTGAACCTCAGACGCTGCTGGGACCAGGAAGGGGGTCTAGCCTAATGACACGCTGTTGAAAACATCAGCTGAGCCGTCCCTATTGCTCATTCTGCCTGGTAGGGGCTGGGCTGTTGGCTCACACAGCTGGACTGCACAGCCAACCCATAGCCCAAATCTCCAGGCCCCATCTCACCAGTTTCCCACCTATGACTTCTAACTCAGCTTTACAGGGGGCCCTCCTTATCCTCGCTTCTGCCCTCAACAAACAACTGGGGCTCTGGTCTGCTCCCAGGCCAAAAGCCCAGCTGGCTCCCTGTACCTCATTCACAACATCTTGGCTGTTGATCAGAGAGGGGCTCAGCCCACTGCATGCCCTCTCCAGCTCCTCTGCCCTTGGTAAGGGCCGGAAGAACATCACAGCCAGGCTGAGAACCCAGCCCCCACCAAGCACCTGGGTCAGCTGGAAGACACCCTGCAGAAACTCCTCAGGCTCCAGCAGCAGCAGCAGAAGTTCCTGCTCATCTGCAGCCAACAGCTCAGCAGGCACCTGTGGGGACATCCAGGGGTACTGCTGCCCACCCTCAGCTCAAGAGCCCCAGGGCCTCGGGCTGGGCACCACAGCAGCTGTAAGGCTCATGGCCACAGGCAAGCCCATGCCCACAAGGTCTACTCCACAAAAGCCAATGTGGTTTCCTGCTGAGGCCAAGACCAAGGCTGGTCCATAGGGCTGGCAGGAACACTGATCACAGGATCAATGGGGATGGAACATTCCTCAGCCACCAGCTGAGTTCAGACCCTGGACCCAGGCCAGCATCTGACCAGCAGGGTGGCTTGGGCATCAATCACCCACTCCACATTCCCTGTTCTTAGCTTATATGCATGATTAGAGCAGCTGCTTCATATGAAATCACAGAGGTGAAACACCTGACCCAGGGCCGCACTATGTAAACCAGGAAACGAGGCTGCTGCGACACTCACACTATTGAGGCAAGGCTCTGGCTTCACTCTGCTCCACCTGAGGCTCCGGGAAGGGCGCTGGGGCTCGATGTGGTACTCACAGCCCAGAGAGCCCAAGGCCTCCATCAGGATATCAGCACCTGCATCTTCCAGAATGGCTGGGGTGGGCAGAATTGACAACTGTCACTCCTCCTCCACATGAGGATGCTACTCACGGCAGACCCAGACCTGGGCGGCGTGTTACAAACACACTGATTCGCCCAGCTCCAAGAGCACAACCGGGTTCAGATCCCGGAGTCTTTTCCTCAAGCTCCCCAGTTGGAAAACCGGAGCCAATTCCTGGCCAAGAGGCAGCCTTGACAGATGCCCCTCTCACCCCACAGTGGACCGGGGACTACCTCCCAGGAGATTCCAAAGCTCGAGGCTCAGCAGAACTGCAGCTTCTCACAGGGCCCCTACCCTCACCCTTGGGCGCACCTGGGTCCACGCGCACCGTAAGTCGCCGCAGAGCCTGCTCGGGCCGCAGCAGCCGCAGAGCCTCGGCCGTCGCTCTGTGCTCCTCCGCCGGGTCCCGGGTCCTCGTGGCGGTCTCCGAGTCCGCTTCCGCGCTGGCGGCGCCCTCGGTGTCCGAGTCCGAGATCTCCCAGGTCGGGGGCCGCCGCTGTCCCCGGCACCGATAGGAGCCCCGGGCCCCCCGTGGCCCAGCCTTCGCCATGGACTGTCCGGTCTCCCCTCCGCTTCCGGCCGCACCCGGACGCCTTCACGGAGAACACCAGGCACTTCCGGCGGCGGGCCGGGCAGGCGAAGTGCGGCGGCTGCTTCCAGGAGGAGTACCCGGGCAGGGACAGACCATGGCGCGCAAGAAAGTGCGGCCGCGGCTAATCGCGGAGCTGGCCCGCAGGGTGCGGGCCTTCCGCGAGCAGCGGGACCGGCCGCGGGACTCACAACGCTTTTCCCTTGACTACGAGACTCTGACGCGGCCGCACTCCGGCCGCCGGCTGCCGGTGCGGGCCTGGGCCGACGTGCAGCGCGAGAGCCGCCTCCTGCAGCTGCTTGGCCGCCTCCCGTTCTTCGGCCTGGGCCGTCTCGTCACGCGCAAGTCCTGGCTGTGGCGGCACGACCAACCGTGCTACTGGCGCCTCACGCGTGTCCGGCCGGACTTCACGGCGCAGGTTCGTGCGCCGCTTGTTGCCTCCCGACTCCGGAGCAACGCGGGGCTGCACTGCTCACCCTACACGCGGCTTTGTGGGAAGGGTTCTCCTGCGTCCTGATCTCTGGGGGAAGGAAAGCTTTGTGAGCTTATTCCCTCCCAATTTGCTTTGCAGAACTTGGACCACGGTAAGGCCTGGGGTATCTTGACCTTCAAAGGTAAGGAGTCCGAGATGGGTGGGGTGGCTGTTGGCAACAGAGTGTGCCGCAAGTATGCAATACACCTCGTCCCTCTTTCCTCAGGAAAGACGGAAGACGAGCCCCGGGAGATCGAACAGGTCATGTACCACGACTGGCGGCTGGTGCCCAGGCATGAGGAGGAGGCCTTCACCAATTTCACGCCGGGGCCAGAGGACACTCAGCCCTCTGTGCCCTACCCTCCGCTGCTCCGGGCCATGATTCTAGCAGAGCGACAGAAAAATGGGGACAACAGCACCGAGGAGCCCATGCTGAATCTGGGGAGAATACGCATTGATCCCTGGGACTACCCTGCGAAACAAGAGGCAAAGAGTAAGGCTAAGGGCACTCCAGTCTAAAATGCCAGGACCGGCAGGCTGCCTGAAGGGTGTAAGGCAGTGAGCACCATTCTGATCAAACAAAGTATCTTTGGGTTACACCTGAATCCGTTCCCCGGATGCTGATTATCTTATCCGACCTCCGTGACTTGTTCGGAGACTGCACTGAACAAAGGTTGGCTCCAGACCCTGCACTTGTGCCTCCTCTGACCCTGTTGCCCAACACCCAGATCTCACCGAGGAGGCCCACAGGAGGCAGCTGCGGGGGAGGGGGGGGCCCCGAAAGCGGTGCTAGCGGGTGTGGAGCCCCAGCGCCCCAGGCACCTGTCGCTTCCCTTCCTATCAGTGCGTTGCCTCAACCAGAACTAAAGCTGAAACGCGAATAAAGACAAATGAAGCAGCCCGGGTTGTGGTTTCTTCGAGTTTGGGTCGGGAGACCGTGGCTGATGGGTTGCAGGAGTGTGGGGAGAAAAAAACTGACAACGTGGTGTATCTGGGTTGATGGACAGAGACAAGAGCGGATTGGGGGTGGCACAGATGTGGTCGTCACACGGAAACCTCCAGGCCCCCGAGGCCTCTGGGGTCCTGGGGTGGGCGTGGAGGACAGCCAGGGTTCACTTCCTCGCCTGCGTTCTCCCAGCTCCCGCCCTCCTGGACGCCTCCACTCCGGAAGGGGGGGGTGTCGGAAGGGGGGGTGTCGGGCCGCGGCCCCTTTAACCATAGGCCCCGCCTCCACCCCTCCCCCACCCAGTCTGCACTCAGCTCCAGCCCCTGCCGCCATCATGATCTGTTTGGTGCTGACCATCTTCGCTAACCTCTTCTCAGGGGGTAAGTAGCGCGGCCGGGTCCTGGGGCCAAGCTGGGTGGGGAGGGGCTGCAGTGGGACGTGCCACTTTCCCGGTCCCGCAGCCTACTCCGGGGTGCATGAGCGCACCTTCCTGGCCGTGAAGCCCGATGGCGTGCAGCGGAGGCTCGTAGGGGAGATCGTTCGGCGATTCGAAAGGAAGGGCTTCAAGCTGGTGGCTCTGAAACTGGTGCAGGTGAAGTTAGGGGTGAGAGTTTGCAGGAGGGTGCAGGGCGGGCTGTTGGGCGCGGGAGAGGGCGGTGCCTCGGAGCCGGACCCCCTCCCTCCTCAGGCCTCGGAGGAGCTGCTGCGAGAGCACTACGCCGAGCTGCGCGAGCGCCCCTTCTACGACCGACTGGTCAAGTACATGGGCTCGGGGCCGGTAGTAGCCATGGTGAGTGCAGGAGGGCGGGAGGCGCGCTGGACGGCACCCTGGACCCCGCTCCACAGACCCCTCTCCACAGATCTGTCCGTAGGTGTGGCAGGGGCTGGACGTTGTGAGCACCTCGCGGACGCTAATCGGGGCCACAGATCCAGCGAACGCCCTCCCCGGCACTGTCCGCGGGGATTTCTGTATCGAGGTCGGCAAGTAAGGCCGCCCCCCCCCCCCCCCCCAGACATTCTTATCCCCAGCCTCAACTACCCCAGCTGTGCATCGTGGGAGTCCTTCCAGTGCTTACTGGCGCTTTTCCTGCGCAGGAACGTGATTCATGGCAGCGACTCCGTGGAGAGCGCCCGCCGTGAGATCGCACTGTGGTTCCACCCTAACGAGCTCTTCTGCTGGGAGGACAGCGCCGAGCACTGGCTGTATGAGTAATGGGGCAGCGGGGCCAGTCCTCCTTAAGCGGCAGAGGACCCAACCCCAGGAGCCCAGGGCCTCTTGAGATAAATGTGCTGCTATAGGTTGGGGTTCACAGTGCTCCTCTAGGATCTCCAACAGGGAAGGTGGGTCTGCCCAAGCCTGGCATGCCGCAGTTTACAGGATGCCTGGAAATGCACCAGGGTGGGGAACCCTGGCACTCAGCTTGGTCCACTGTTTCTTTTTATAATAAACTGAAGAAAATCTGGAGCTCATGTTGGTTTGGGTCCAGGGACACAGAGGTACCGTGATAAGACATTTATTACATACAGAGCAGTTACATAGGTTTGCTTGCAGGGCCAAAGCCTGAGAAAAGTCACCCAGCCCCTTCCCCCAGCTGCACCCACCTGCATAACCCCCCAGTCATTCTTGGCCCTGTGGGAACAGACGAGGGACCTGACGTACGTCACAGTGGAGAGTGGCAGGGTGGTGGGGGGAATCCTGCAGCTGCATGTGAGTGCAGCGGTGTCTGGCTGGGCTGTGGGATGGCTGCCCGAGATCTGTGCTTCTCTGGTGGGAGGTGGGTGGGCAGCAGGGCCTGGGGCTGCCCTCATCAGTGCCTTTTGGAGCAGGAGTAAGGCCTGGGCAGGTGGAGAGGCAGCAGTCCAGGGCAGTACCCTTCAAAGCAGGCGAATGCATGCTCCTGGAGCTGGGTAGGTGGTCCCTGTCCTTAGCCCTTAGGGCCTCTGCTGCCAGCTTGTCAGTTGCCCTTGAGGGAGAAGGCCACACCACCAGCCCGAGGCACTTAGCGTGTCTTGGGAACTGGGCTCCTTGGAGACTGCTTGGGAGGCAGGCCCTGGATCCCCCATCTTCCCCCATCACCCTGAGGCTGAGCTTGCATCCCAATGGCCCCACCTTTATGATGAGGCCTAGGCCTGCCCTGACAGACTGAGAAATTCCACCCTAGGGGATTCCAGGGGGGACAGGACTGCAGGGCTTGCTTGCCCAGGACAGGGAGAGGGGACATGGGTCAATGAGGGCTCCGAGAGCCTGTCACACAGGACAATCAGGGGGCTTGGGCAGGATGGTGGCATCCGTCTTATCAAACAGCTGCCCCAGGGAGCCTGGATGCATGCTTTCGTGCCACTTCCTAGGTTGGAAGGGATGGGGCTGGGGGGGAATCCAGGGCAGGCTACTGGTTGGGCTGGCTCCCTTAGGGTCAGACCCCCACCCTCATGGACAGCAGGCAAAGGCAAGTGGGCCCTAGGTGGGAGAATATTTGGCAGACTGAAATCCCTGCTTCCTGTTCTGGGTGTCCTAGGAGTGAATGATGAGAACAGGGAGCCCAGGGTACACTTGAGAGCTACCTGGGGGCTGCTAATTCCAGAATTCTGGACCCTGGGCCAGGAACTGCTGGGGGAAAGGGTGTTCCCAAAGGCTGCCTCTCCCACCCACATCCCCCTGCCCAGCCAGACCTGCTTTGCTGCTTGCTGCCCCTGTCAGCTCCCAGGCCGGACCTAAGGTGAAAGCTGCAGGTTGAGAGGTTAGAGAGGGGCTGGTGGGCTGCCCCATGGGGCAGTCGTGGCAAGTGAGCAGGGCGTAGCGTATGTACAGGGTGATGTCAGGCAGGGGCAGTGCAGGCCGTGCCTCACTCAGGGGAGTAGGACACCTGCCACACGATGATGTGGCTGCGCTCGGCCTTGGACAGCATGGGCTTCACCTGGCTCATGTCTGCCGCGCTGTCCTCCGTCTCATCATCTTCTCCGTCACCTGGAAGGAGCAGGTGGCTGTGAGGGGCAGTCCCCACCCGGCAGTCCTTGGGGCCTGAAGGCAGCACCCACTCACCAATGCGGAAGTCAATGTAGCCCTCCCCACCGCTCAGCACCAGCACGTTCTTCAGCTTCTGGCCCTCAGCATCTGAGGCAGGGGCTGCGGGCCCAGGGCTTTCGGATGGGCTGTCCAGCACGCTGCCATTGAGAGTGGCCAACACGTTCCCTGTCATGGGGTACAGGGACCTTAGTCGGACCACCAGAGTACCCACGAAGGCTCCCAAAGGGAGGCCACAGGTGCTGCCCTGCAGGGACTGGGGCCAAGCCACTGACCTGGCACAGAGACAAAGAACTTGACGGCATCCCGGTGCCCATGGAAGCAGAGCTGGGCCTGGGCCATGGAGCAGTATGGGATGAAACTACTAGCCGATTTGTCAGTGCTATCGTCGCCGTACACGTGGATGACACCCCCGGGCCGGGCCCCCTCCCCAGACGTAGGAGATGTCTTGTTGGCTGGAGAGAGAGAGACAGAGTGCCTGGAGGGGCCAAGCCCAGCGACTGGGAGGTTTCTAGCAGGTGAGGGCAGAGGGTAGGGGGGCTTCTTTCTGAGAGCAGGAGCAGGCCTCTGGACTTACCTCGGAGCCCCAGGAGTTGGCCTCGGTGCAGAACCACAGCTGGGGGAGAGGAGAGGAAAGAAGCAGTCACAGGAGGGGCAGGCTGTGGGTGGCTGTGGCCACCACAGCCCAGTGTCCCGTGTGTGGCCTGGCAGAGCATGCCCGCCCCAGGACCCCGCCATGCACCCTTCAGCAGCTGCCATCATCACCTGTGCAGGTGTCTGGGGTCACTCACTCTCAGTCAGAGGGATAGAGATGACGACTCCATTGCCAGTGCCCACCCAGAGCCGGTTTCCCGCAATGAGCAGGGCAGTGATGCGCACGAAAGAGAAGCCCAGCTTGCCCGTGCCTGGGTGGGGGAGGAGGCGGGGTCAGCACTGCCTTGGCCCTCCTCTCGGCCCCACCAGGCCCAGCCCAACAGAGCCATACCCAGCATCTTGCTGACATAGGGCTCGATGTCAACGTCCTGCAGGTGCTGGTGGGTGTGGGCGTGGTATAGCCGCAGTGTGGAGTCCAAGCGGATGGACACCCACACCCCATCGCCGATCCACGCCAGCTGCCTCACCTGGCTCTCCCGCCGTGGGTGGGCATCAAATGACTTCTGCAAGGTCACAGCAACCCATCAACAGCGGCAGAGGAAAGGGAGCTGAACTCGCCATAGCCAAAGCTTCACCCTGATGTCCACCCAGCTCAATGCAGCCTTTGCTCCAGTGCCTGATTGGCTCCCACAGGTCTAGGCTCCTAGGAGGGCCCCAGCCAACCACCCCACACCATGAGCCTGCATCCAGGTGGCTGAGGGCAAGTGCATGGATCCCATGCAGGTGTCAACCTGACTTGTTTCAGAATGAAGCAGTAGGCGGGCTCCAGTTTGACGTTCACAGCCCAGCCGCCTTCTGCCTGCCTGTGACCTTGGACAAATAAGTCAGGTTTGTCCTGAGTGCAGTCCCTTTGACCGCAACATCTATTAGGTGTGTCGGGAGAAATGCTGGCAGCAAGAGCCCCTTTCCCTCCCTGAAGCCCCTGCCGCTGGCACTTGCCTCTATTTGCATGGTCTTGGGCTGGATGACGTGCACCTTGTTCTTATAGCCACACCAGACACGGTCGTACACAACTGCCATACAGCGGATGGAGTGGTGTGGGTGGCCCAGGTCCATGAGGTGATAGTTGCTCAGGTCCCACTGGCCATCTGCAGAGAGTCCACCATACCTGCTTGGGCCTGGCCAGGTCCCACAGTGGGGGCAGTTCATACACTGCCGGCACCATCAGGTGTCGCCCACCTGCCCACGACTGCTGGGCCTCACCTTCTCCTCGGTGGAAGATGGCTAGAGTCCCGTCTGCCAGAGCCACCAGCACTCGTCCTTTCACGTGCCTGGAGGGGAAGGTGGTGAGCCAGGCTCAGGCTGGGCCATCCCAGACCCCCTCCCAATGCCGGCCCTTGGCCAGGGGTCACGTACACCAGGCTCAACACCGAGTCCTTCAGCTTGATGGAGTGCAGACACGTCTTCCAGTTGGACACAGCTGAGTGCACATACAGCCTGTGGGAGGAGGCGGCGTAGGCGGGGGCTCACCCCAGGGGCCAGCCCCTACTCCTCCCCCGAAGCCCCACCTACCAGCCATTCTGGGCTCCCAGCCACATGGTGGGCAAGGCACTGCTGCTGGCCCCCTTGGGGTCTCCGCTGGGCTCCTGCTCGGGCTGCACACCGCTCGAGTTGGCCTCTGGCCCATTTTCACTGCAGGAAGGATGATGGTTCCAGGGCAGCCTGTGGAGACCCATCCCTGCCACCTCTGCCAGCCTACCCCTCCCGTCTCTGCCCATCTGAGAGAGCCCACCTGCCAGGCTGAGCACTCGGCGGTGGAGCAGGGGCCGGGTCGGTGAAGACATGCTCTGTGAGGGGCCCCGGCCGAACTGCAGCTGCCTCTGCCTCACTGGGCCCAGAGTCGGGAACCTCTGTGGCCTCCGTGGCCTCCTCTGTGGACTGAGATGGGTTGACCTTCCCATTGGCGACAGCAGCCACCTCCCCTGTGGGAGTGAGGGGTGAGCTTGGCTGGGCAGGCGGAGGAACAAGGGAGCAGAAAGAAGGCTGCGCCAGGGCTCAGACCCATGACTCACCCTGGCCCTTGTCCAGCACTGGGGTGTCCCCTCGGGAGGAGCAGCTGCTCAGCGGCACATTGCAGCGGGTGGCGCAGCCCACCAGGGTGATGCCAGCCAGCACTCCGTCTGCACCAGAGTCTTCGGGGTTCACATCGCTGTCCAAGAAGATCTCCCCTGGAGGGTAGTCACTGTCGCTGGCCGCTGCAAGACCACGCCCAGAGCTCATGTCCCCATGGGGTGCAAGGGAGGAAAGGGGGGTCACCTGCTGAGGCTGTCCCATTTACTTCTAGTCAAGTGAGCACCACACTGCATCTTCTGCATCTTTAAGACTAAGCAGGACGAGACCACCAGTGAGGCCCTCCTTGGACACGCCCCCACCAGCTCCTGTGTGTCCACAGCATGTGTCACAGAAGGCAGGTGCCGCTCTGCGAGTCTCCTTACCCAACATCCTAGGTGTCCTCTGAGCAGCGCGAACCCCACCCTCCTGAGCGCTGGCTCTGGTGTGGGGCAGCACTCACCGGGGATGCTGGAGATGCACAGGACGTGGGCGTTGCAGACGGTGAACTGATCCACAACGGTGCCTGGCTGGTTGGCATCAATGATCACCACTTTGCTGGTGGTCAGGGTGCTGGTGAGGATCCACACACGGCTAGAGGTGGCATCTGTCTCAGGAAGCTCCTTTGCCTGTCAGAGCACAGGAGACCGGGCAGGTGCCCAAGGGTGGGCACCTCCAGCAGCCACACAAGGTCCTGGGAGCCTCCTGGAATCTTTAGGATCTAGCCTTGCCCATGGCCTTAGGGGGCATGGCTGTCCTGTCCCAGGACCCAATACTGAGCACTCAGAACCGCACCTTGTGTCTGGACTGGTGGCATGGGCGGTCTCACCTGCGCAGGAGACCATGAGGTCCGAGCCTGAAGTCCCTGGCTCCCAAATCAAGCCAGAACATAAAATGAAGCCTTGGACTCCAAGTGTGAAGCCTTTTCTGCCTTACTTAGTCCTTCCACTGCTCCTCTGCAGGCAGTGAGATTTGCTCCTTGCAAGGAGAGTAGGTCCCAGAGGACCTGACCCCTTCAGCCCTACTGCCTGCTGAGTCTTGACCCCTCCGATCTTCCCCACCCACCACAACTCATAGCTCCTGGGTGCTGGCCCGGAACCAGAGGCAGCTCAGCCCCAGGCTTGCACTAGGGAGAGGAAGGGTACTTCAGATGAGCCCAGTCTTGGAGCACTGTCCCTAACTCTCCTCTATTTCTGTCACTACCACCCAGATTCTGGTGCTGAGCACAGGCTAAGCATGCGAACAAGAGCAGACACAGGCTAGATGGGCGCAGCTCCTTCCTGCCGCTCTGACCTTCTTCTTCTCCGGGGATGCGTGGTTGCTCTTGACCTCTCCTTCCACTTCCTGGTTGCAGGTCAAAGGGTCAGAGCCTGGCTCCAGCTTGACTCCATTCCCAGTGTGGTCCTCACTGGGTTTCCACCCACTCAAGTTGACACCTGCAGCGCACCACAGCTGAGAACAGGGACATGAAAGCTGCGGCAGCACACCTCGGGTGTGTGACAGAGCCTTCCCTGCCGTCCCAAACCTTCCTGGACCCAGTTTCTGGATGGGAACCTCTCCCTGCCTCACCCACTTCCCTGTCCTGCCACGCCTCACCTTCATGGTCGGATCTTTCTCCACCAGAGGGCGGCAGTACACAGGGACAGGCACGTTCTTCATCCGCGTGTCCTCCTGGCCGCCATTGGGACTCAGCTGCAACCATAGGCAGAGAAGCGCTGTGGGCACGAGGCCTGGGGTAGCTCAGGTGCACGGACAGTGGTTCGGCTACTCATCCCTCCAGAATCAGGGCTGATGTTGTGGATCTGCCCTGTGCCCCCACCCCGCCCTGCGCATGCGTATTGTGCCCCGCAGCACCTGCTTGTACTTGGCCGGCAGGCTCCAACCGCAGGCCTGCAGCCGCCCATCGTCGTTGCGCACGTGCTCGCGCACCTGGCGGTACTGCTCACGCTTCTGCTCCCGCCTGGCAGAGGAGGTGCAGTCGCTGGGTGAGAGGAAGGATGGGGTACTTCTCAGTCTTTGGTGACCCACAGGCCCACAGGCCTGCTCTGCAGGGAGCACACGATGCCCCTGGAACTCTCCGGTCTGAACTTGGCTGTCTTTTCCCAGCCACCGAGGTAGGGCTCCTACTGCCCCAGTTGGGCTGCCATTAAATGCGGGGGGTGGCTCTCCCAGCACTGGACTTGGAGACCATACCCAGCACGTGTCATCATCCAGGTTCCTGTTTTGCTGTCCCTGTCACTAAGGGCCAGCTGACAGAGACCTACAGTGCAGCTTCCCATCCCCCTGGGCGTTTCAGGGAAACTTCTACAGCTCTGACAGGGCACAGGATTCCCCAGTTCTGCCCTGGAGTCTGGATTTCTTGGTTTCAAAACAATGGAAAAAACAAATTACAAACAGGAAGAAACCCAGCCCTGCAGGAAAACTTCCTGTCAGCACCAAGTACCCTTGGGAAGGCCAGGTGTGCAGGGTCGGCTTGCTGCAGCGCCCACTGGGACTGAGACAGCCTGGGGAGAGTGCAAAGGGACAGCGAAGCCTCCCACCAGGGAGCAGAAGGGCGCAAAGTGTGTTAGGAGAGAAGTCATGGTCCTTGAGCCTCAGCCAGTGTCCTACTCTGGACTCCACACACAGCCCCAGAGCATGGAGGTGAGGCAGTTCCTGCTTCCGTGTCCCTGGGCCACACGGCCTGCCCAGCGCTGGCCAGGAGGGAGGTGCAGGGGAGGGGTGAAGGGGAAGGGACACTCACTCATCTGGGAAGAACTCCAGGGTCCGGCTGCCCGCTGAGATCTGGCACAGGGCATGGCTCCGGCGCTGACTGAAGCCAGCTGTAGTGGGCGACTTGTAATGGATGTTCACCGAGGGGTAGGACCGCTTGGCTGGAGGGGGGCTGGATGAGGAGCTGAAGAGGCGACTGAAGCTGCCGCAGAGGAATGAAAGGTGAGGAGTGGGCCTGGGATTAGCTTCCCTGCAGCCTCCTCACCGCAGCACCCCCACTCACAACTGCCAGATGGTGGACTTCTTCTTCTCCTGGACAGACGGGTGCTCTCGGGATGCTCTACAAGGGAGGCGCAGAGAAGGAGCCCAGCTAAGCCACTGCCCAGCCTGTCACTCACACCGCGCCCAACCGGCCCACTCCCCTCTGTCCCGCCCACTCCCCCTCTGCCCCGCCCACTCCCCTCTGCCCCGCCCACTTCCCTCTGACCCACCCACTGCCCAGCCCAACCGCCTTGGCCAGGCCTGGCCCCACCAATCTGACTAGGCCCCACTCTTCCTGGGTGCCCTCTCGCCTCCCTTGCAGAAGACCCTCACCCCGGACACACTGGGAACAGAGCAACAGAGTAGAGGGGGCCTGGGCAGAACTCCCCAGAGGGGCCCTGCCACACCAGCCCTAACGGTGCCCGCCCAGCTCTGGGCCAGTTGCCATTTCCCTGCCAGGCCAGGCAGGGCTGCAGCTGAGGCCTGGCTCTCCTGGCCCCCTGCAGGCTCCCACCTGAGAGCCCCCTCACCTTCCCAATCCTCCTAGAAAAGAAGGAGGCGGCTGGGGTAGAGATCAGCCTCAACACCCACTGCCAGGACCTCTTGCCATGAGCATGCCTCACAGACAGGAGCACATCTCTGAGACCCCACGGGCAGCCTTGAGGGCCCACCTGATCATCTCAGTCCACCGCACGGCCTCCTGAAGCTCCATCAGCCGCTCCTTGTACTGGTTGCGCTCCATAAGCACACGGGCCATCTCCACCCTCGTGAAGCGGCGGCGCTGTGCCATGGGGATCTTGTCCTGCAGAGAAGAGAGAAGAGGCACAGCTATTCAGCCAGTGAAGGACCAACTGGCAGGTCAGTCCAGTGCCCTCCGAGGCCAGGTCACACCTAGATTCCTCTCGGGCTGGCCTCCAGGTGTGGGTGAATCCAGGTGTGGATTCCCATAGACTCAGGCAAATGGGTGTGGAAGGTGTGGGCAGGGGGATGGTAGCCACTGAAGTCTACACGCCAACGGTGCCACCTTCTTTCCAGAAGGTCACCGGATACACTTGAAGGGCACAACAGTGACTTTTCCCGTAAGCCCCTGGACACCGGCAATCCCAAAGGCCTTCAGTGAAACTACCAGGTAGGACTGGCCCAAGGTGACACTGCAGGAAGAGGCTCAGGGAGGACAGTCCAGTGGGCAAAGGAAGCTGAGTGCTGGAAGTCCTGGTGGATCTGCAAGGGGTCTGCTGTCAGCAACTTCTGTGGCAAGGCCAAGTCTACTCTGTGAAGTCATGTCCTTGGTGGCCACAGGGATAAGGGGGCCCAGGAGGGAACTACCAGGTGAGTGGGCGCATGCACCCTCCCCATGTGGCCCCACCCCATGCAGCCCAGGCCCCACACAAATGGGCAGCTCCATTGCCACGTTGGAGGGGCCTGGGGGAACTTAAGGATTCATCTGCAACTTTGTTTCTCTCCTAGAGCAATTGGAGTGAAGTGCTGCACAGGAATAGCTACTGTTTCCTGAGTGCCTGCCTACATCCTGATGGGAGCATCATATGAGTAGGAAATTAACAGCTAGTGAGTGGTTAGGTCCAAAATTCACCTGGGGTGAAGACCCGTGACTGCCTCATTCAGGTAGTACAGGTAGCACAGGGGCAGACTTTCCTCAGAACATCCCATGCACCTCAGAGTGGAGGTGAGGACAGATGAGTGGACTGAGGGCCTCACAGCACCTCAACTACTAGGGACAGTGGCGACTGACACTATTTCTGCAGCCTGCTCTGCAAATTGGAGTGTAGGGGGCAGCGGCTGTGCTGCACGGGCAGGGAAACCCTGCTTGAGGCTGTGCAAAATGCATCCACTAGGACCGGGGGCTGAGGAGGAACTGTTCTGACTTCATGACATCCCGAGGTGGGGGGAGGACGAGGACGCTGCTAGGTGTGGTTGTCATTCAGGTCAGGTGAGGGGCCCAGAGGCCCAGAAGAACAAGTGCACCCCTGGTAGCCCGCCCACTGCCATCCCCCCATGCCCCACATGTTAATAGTGGAATATACCAATTCTGTACAGAGATAGCTGCTTACATCCTCCCCCTCTTCTTTGGGTTCACGGCGAGCTGTGATGGCCTCGGACTTCACTCTGCAGGACGAGAAGGAAGCCAGGTAGCGTAAGGGTCCCCTGAGCGCCGGCCCACAGACTGTCCCACCTCTGAGCTGTGCTCAGGACTCTTCCCTCAGGTTCTACGCCCCGAGAACCGGTGCCAGTGCCCTGAAGCCCACGCATCTGTCCGAGCTGCTGCGGCCAAGGAACAGGGCCTCCCCCAAGCAGCCAGGTGCTGATGAGAAAAGCAGAGCCAGCTATGCTTCAGGGCTGGATGGAACCGTGCGGGCTTCAGGAAAGCCTAGAGCAGGTCCGGCTCCCACTCTCACAAACCCCGCACAGGCGCCCCTGCCTGGGGCCCCCCTCTCACACTTCCCCTTTCCCATCACCTCTGTGGGAGAGTGGGGTGAGGACCAGGCTGAAAGAAACACTGCCGGGAAGTGCAGGCTGCTGGGGAGGAGACCCCAGAGCTTCCCAAACAGGCTGCAGGCTGCACCTTGGTGGGTCAGGGCTGGGGAGCACCAGGTGGAGGACGGCCGGCCCTCAATCCTCCCTTTCCTCCTCCGGGGTGAATGTAATGGGGTGAGAGCAGCAGGGAGGCCCAGCTCGGCCACTGGGGGAAAGGCACCAAAGATGGGACTGCCATCCCTCGTGTGGGATTCCAGCCAGGAAGGAAATGAGAGGGACAGGCTGATGGACAACTCAGGAGCCAGGTGGGTGGAGTGGAGCATGGGATGCACCTGAAAGAGGACGGGGGGGGGGGTGCTGAAGCGAGCACGCAGAGTGGGCTGCGTTGGGACGGGACGACCTCTGGGGTGTCGCCGGCAGAAGAGAGATGGGACCGAGCAGGCTGGGTGGGTGTCTCACTCTGTCCCCCTCGCTGCCGACCCTTGTCCCTCCCGCGAGCCCCGCCCCCAGCCCTGCTCACCTCCTCAGCTCCTCCTCCAGGTCCTTGATGCGGCTCTCCAGCCTCAGTTTGGCTTGTCTGGCAGCTTCTAAATCCCCCTTCAGCACCTCCTGCTCCCCAGACAGCTGGTCCACTTTGGCAATGAGGTCGTTCTTCACCACGTTCAGAGCATTTCTTTGAAAAGGCAGAAAGACCGGAGCCTCGTGTGAGCCAGCTGAACATCCTACGATGGGAGCTGCAGAGGGGTCCACCTGCACTTGTGTGTCTGAGAAGGCAGCCCCTGGTCCAGAATGTGGCTGCGGGCGGTTACCACATGCCCCCGTTAAAGTGACCACCGTGCGGAGGAGTAGGGGGCTCAGCCCTGCGCCCCCAGGTCCTCCTTTGGGGCTGCCCTCTGGGCTCGGCTGGCACAGTTGTCACGGGGAGGCCCTGGCAGGGGGCTATCTCAGCAACCGAGGCACTGGAGGAGGGTGTTCTTACTTGGTTTCTAGAAGCTGGGAGTTCTCCAGAAGCAGATTCCCCACTTCCTTGCCCATTCCTGAAACAAAAGGTGCAGAGGTATTGGGCCTGGCACACCAGCCGCTGGTGCTAACACACCTACTGCAGAGTAACAAACACCCCCCAGGGGGCGGCCCGCTGCTGGGAGGGCCGAGGGGAAGCATCAGGACAGAGGCCTGAGCAACTACGGGAGAGACCTCTGCTGGTCGGGAGGGGCCTCCACCCACCCAGCCAGGCAGCCAGGGCTGACCCTGCAGCGCGTGAGCCCCAAGGGGCGCCCAGAATGGCCCCTGGAAGGTGCTGCGCAGGTCCCCACTGCCTCGACGGACGCAGCAGCCCTGGGCTTACATCCTAGACCTCGGGGCTGGGTCCCTACAGCTTTCTACCAATGTGAAGTCTGTATACCATCCGGGCTCAGGCAGCAGCAGCCTGAGCAGACCCTGAGCTGTGTCTGTGCACCCACTTCTATCTCTGTGCCCCTGCCCGGCATCACCCCTTTCACCCCACAGAGCTGCCCCCAGGAGAATGGAGGTTAGAGCTGTGGTGGCGGGAACAGAGAAGACAGCACAAGATACAGAGAAGATGGGATGGCCCCCCGCAAGCGCAGCCCTCTGCTGGGGCTAGCAGCAGGACTGGTGGGGTGGGGCCAGCAGGAGATGAAAGAGGGAGTGAGGAGGACAGGGCCCAGAGGGACTGACCTGGCTGCTCTGTGCGCAGGCCCCACAGGGGACCCCACGGACCAAGCTCGTTGCAGGCGTATCACAAAACCCCTCTCAGTACTGAATCTAACCCTTTGGGACAGCCCGGAAACCGGTCGGTCCGTGCCTCTCAGTTTCACTCCCCGCCTCGGTCTCACGCGACTGGGAGATGAGACACGCAGGCACACACTGTGCTCCGCTTGGGGACCTGCCTGTCTCTGTTCCCATCTCTCTGCCTCCCATGCGGCCTGCCACCGCCTCGCACGGGACACAGCAGGCACCGAGCAGGCGCACCCCAGGGGCTGGCCCGCCCTAAGCTTCTAGGGGCCCAGAGAGGCTGGGGCCGCCCCTCTTCAGCTCTCCAGGGTCTGCTCCGAGGGGGGCTGTTGGGGTGGCAGGGCGGAGGCCCACACCCCTACCCCGGAAGTCCCTGCTGACCCCACCTCTGCCCCACCATGCAGAACAAACAGACGGCTCATGAGCATGAGAAGGTGTTGGGTGCACAAAGGAAGCCCAAAACGGGAGACACACATACTGCAACGGGGCCTTGGCCTTACCAAAAAAATCATCGCGCACTATGGGAGCCGTCCCGGTCCCACAGGAGATGGGCAACCAGGGCGAGAGGAAGGATCAGGAGAGAGGAGGGGAGAGAAAACAAGCGCATTAAGCCTGTGCGGACAGCAGGTGGAAGTCTTTTAGGGCTACTTCTTGTTGTGTTGGAGGTAGGTACAGGAGCAGGATGGGAGGGAGCCAGCTACTCCTTCTGGAAAGTTTCTCCTTAGGTCGCACAGACCACCAGGCCGAGAGCACTTGCCCGTGAAGCAGAAGGTCAAGGCACTGGCACCTGACACCACAGCCTGGGTGGTGAGGGGTGGGGTGGAAAGTCACTTGACCGAAGTCTCTAAGGGGAGGGAGAGCTGTGCCCTGGACCCTCGTGCTTTTACTTGCTGCAGGGCTGCACTCAGGTAGGTGCGGGCCTCAGAGCCTCCTACTGCAAAGCAAGAAAGTAGGATCTCAGTCCACCTGCCACATGAGGAGACCCCTGAGCTGCACTTGGCGGGGGCCTCATGGTACCCCAGACCTGGGGTACCCCCGGTGGAGGGGAGGCACCGCGGAATTGGCTTGCAGGCCTTGTCCGGGTAACTGTCCTATGCTTCCAACAACTGTGAGACCGTCACAAATGACTGCGGGGTTCTCGGCCTTCGAGAAGACAGGGTCAGGGCACAGCGTCTCCCTCAGATGTCAAGGTCACTGTCAGTGGGCTAGTGGAGCAAACCAAAGTAAACTTCCAAGCAGCAGCAGGCTGGTGAGCAAAAGCACGTGTGCCTTAGTGACTTGGGACGGAATCAGGAGGGACAGGCTGCCCAGCCAGCGGTGACTGGAGTGTGACAGCAGCAGGGGGAGCCCGAGGGGCACAGCCCCACTGCACCTGGACTGCACCGTGGGGGGCGGGGCTGCCGGCAGGAAGGGCAGATACACACCTGAGAACTCTCCTGGGCCGTGTCCAGCGAAGCACAGAGGGAAGGGAAAGGAAGTGACAACGGTCAGTTGGGAACTGGAACCAACAAAATAAACTCTTATAAAGGAAAGGCAACAATGATCAGCCACGTCCATGCTGAAGTGCATGGAAGAACACCCACATGTCGCCGGGCCTGTGCGGCAAATCCCACTGTGAGCAGAAGCCCCGAGGGAAAAGGGAGCCCAGCACAGAACACCCCTCAGTCTCCTGGGGGCCCAGAGTGCCCCGAACACGGGGGCAGGCATGGGAACCAAAAGTCTGCTCACCCCTCTAACCCTGTCACCCATCCACCAGGAGGGCCGCAGACCCGACGGCCGAGGCCTGTAAAGATGAGTGCGTGTGCGGTTGTATGCAGGTGCCTGCACACAGTTGTGTGTGTAGGATTGCGTGGCAGTGTGTGTGAGTGGCCGTGCATGTGTGCACAAAGTGTGTCTGGGTATGTATGTGTCTGGTTGCTAGGGGCGGGGTGTGCTGAGGTGCCAAGGGCATCCAGCTACAAAGATGCCCCTCGGAGTGAGCGAGCAGCTGGCAGGCGCCTGGCCGTGCAGGGTCCCCGGGCAGGTCTCAGGTGAGGGTGCAAGGCCCACCGCGTAGGGAGGGAGACACTGAGTTAGAGAGCAGAGACGGGGATGGGACACGCTGACACGTGCCATCCTCACGTGGGTCCAAACCGCCCTCTGCTGTGAAGCTGAAGATCTGATGAGACAATACCATTCCATTTGGTTCCAAATGAGGAAAATGGCATTAAAAAGTCACTTAACTTAAATGGCAAAATAACATAAATCATTGTAGGAATTCAGGTACAGAAGTGCACCGATTCAAAGAGTACCCTCACTCCCCTCTCTCCTTCCCAGGGCAGCCACTTTTAACACTCAAGATGCTTCCCCTCAGACCTCTTTCTGGATAAACATCAATTTTTAAGAAACAGAATCACAACCATACTATCCATCTTGTGGGCAACATACTTCGTTTCACCTAACAGTGTATCACAGAACCATCCACATCAGAGACCTGTGATCGGCTACAACGCTTTGTCCTATTCCTGTGCAGGGCACCTCGCCCCTTACTGCAGCACTCACCCCACTGGTATTTAGGGCATTTATGGGTTTGCATGACCACCCACGACACTGCCACGCAAAGCCTCCCGTGTGGGCAAGGTGGTGTTCTCTGGGAGCTCCGGGCCTGCTGGCTGTCAGAGTGCGGCTCCTCGCCCGCACCGTGGGGGCCGCTCCGCCGGTGGGGCGGGACACGGCCTGCTCCGTCTTCGTCAGTCTTCTGAGGTGAAAAAGTGATCTCTATTTTCTCTTAATTTTCATATTGCTCTATTATTCCTGAAATGGAGCACCTTTTCATGATTGTTGGTATCTTCTGTGAATACCCTATTTTATTCTCTTCCCATTTTTCATTGTACTTGCCTTCTTTTAACTTTAATGATGGATGGAGTTCATAAACATTTATTCTCAATTTCCATGTGGTCACACCTGGCAACATTTCCCACCACGGCCATGGCTATAGAGACCCAGATCATGAAAATACTTGCCCGCACTCCCCTCCTGCTGTATTGTCCTTGCGTTTTTAGGTTTAGGTCCTTAACCCACCGACACATCCCTTTTGTGTGTGATGTGCTGCTGTTTGGGTCAGACTTTGCTTTTCTCCAAGTGGCTATTCAGCTAAGTCAGTATCACAGCCCACCTGCTCTCCCACCACTTGAAACGCCGCATGTCAGACACGACTCCCCACACGGCTGTGGGCCTGTCCTTGGCTGTTCCACCGGGAACACAGAGCCGCTGGCCCAGAGCTGGCCCCGAGCTGCCTCTTCCCGTGACCGCAGCTTTACAAAGTGCTTTGAAACCTGGAACGGCCATCCTGCGACCTTATTCTTTCTCAAAACTTTCTGGACTACTCTCACACATTTACTCTTCTCCATGACCTTCAGAATTCAAGTTCCAGGAAAAAAGCCAACCGTGTGGGTCTTTGTACTGGTATGAATGAATTCACAGAAAAACAGTGGGCCGACCTGTGCGTGACGCCACCCGACAGCCTTATAAGGCTTATGTTTAGATTCAGGAATGTGTCGCTGTTCTCCATCTACATGAGGTCTCTTTCATGATCTTCAATTATACTCTTTAACTTTCTTTACAAAGATTTTTCCATTTCTCAGGACTATTTATAGACATTTTTCTGGTGTCATTACTAAGTGGTTGGGACCTGCTCCTGGACTTGGGCGCAGCCGAGTAGAGCAGAAGTCGGATCAGCCTGCAGAGAACTTCAGATTCTACCCAAGTGACGCAGGGCAAGTGACTCAGGCTCCGAGCTTCCGCTTCCTCATCTGCGAGATGGACACGTCGTCTCCTTAGTGTAGGCTCGTCCTGCAGCTTCCTGCTGAGCGGTGTGTATGAATTCCCTTGCTCCACACTTATGTCAAGTCTGTGATACCTATTTTCATATCATAACATTTCTGAAATTATAAATGGGTTTTATGATCAATGACATGGTCTAGTTTAATTAGCAGCATTTTTTCTTTCTAGGAGATTTCTAAAATAATGGTGTGTCACATGATCAGTGGCGTGTGGTTTTCAATGACATATAATAAGACATGCCAGCTGGGGTCCTTCTTCTTGCTTCCATGCTAAAGAGGTTCACGGCCTGGCAAGGGCGGCATGAAACAGCCGCTCCGAGCACTTGGAGCTCGGACACGCCATCATCAACCAGGCCGCCCGCCCCCAGAACCACCCACCTTATCTCTTAGATACAACATGAACCTGTTTCTGAGATTACAAGGTCTTTCCACTGCGAAAACTGTCACAAAACCAAGACTGACAGGACCACTCGCTGTCCCGGTCTCTTCCCAGATTAGCAGTCACGCAAGGGGCCTGGAGTCAGGCGCTCACTCCCGCAGCAGGTGCCTTCAGAAACACGGGCGTGGGGGACCCAAGCTCCCGTCACTGACACTTACTGTGGCTGAGCCACACTCTGGTGACAGCGGGGTCCCTCCCCCTGGTCAGGCCCAGACCGGGCCGCGCGTGTCCGCGCTCCTCCGCCCGACTGCACTGCCCCCGGCCCGCCTCAGCTCCCCGGGCTGCCTGGGTCTCCCACACTCCCTGTGCTCAGGGCCTGGAAAGGCACCGGAAGGTCTCCCCCAGGGCAGGGTCTCCTTTGAGTTCTTGTTCCAACCAGAGCTAAGTGGTGCCCAGATGACCACGATCCTGCAAAGAAAAAGCATCGCAGAGGAAATGCTGGCTGCATGGCAACGTGCTCACGCTCTGTCCCCCTGTGAGAGAAGGGTTTTGGCTTCCACGTCCTCAGAACAAAGACCCACGGAACGTGCTTGTGCGGCCTTCCCGTGGAAAGACCATGCCAAATGAACACCCTGTGCAGTGGGCTGGCCCCAGGAGATGGATGAGGCATCATTACCCTCCCAGGAACCTACTACATCTAAGAGTTAGTGACACCCATGCCAAGTGGCCTCCAGGTAAAGCTCGCTAATGTGCACTTCCTAGTTCACGGCCTTCCCTCCCATCACTATTTGTGGGGGCTCTGTACGAAAGCAACGTTTGGAGTGATGCCACCTAAATCGGTAGCTGACGATGACCACAGGAGGCAGTCACATGCTAGAGCATCCAACAGCCCTCAGGGCTCTGGGACACGATGGAGGACATGGTCACGTGAAGAGGCCCACCAGCGAGGACAGCTTGCTGGGGCCACAGACGGACGGGCAGACAGGCTCCCCGGAGACACCAGGTAGTGAGAAAGCTGGTCGGCTCGTGTGAGGGGCCCAAGGTGTGGCAGGAGCACTGGTCCCAACAGGCAAAGTGGGATGGCCCAAATGTCCACCAGTGGGTGGACGGGTATGGAAGTGTGGTCCATCCAGACGGCTGACCATTATTCGGCCATAAAAAGGAATGAAATTCTGGTGCCTGCTGTAGCCTGGATGGACCTCAAAGGCATTATGCTTAATGAACCCAGCCAGGCAGCAAAGGCCGGCTGACAGGAAACGTTAAAACCCAGCAAAAGCACAGACGGGAGCAGAGGAGCCAGCGCCGCAGACCGGCAGGGGCAGGGGCGGCCGCTAACGGGCACGGGTCTCCCTTCGGGAGGCCAGACGTTCCAGTTACGTGCTGGTGACGGTGCAGCTCTGAGTATGCTCACAGCCATAAAGTACACTTCGAGTGGGCGGATGCTATGGTGTGAAACTCCGTCTCAACAAAGCTCTTAAAAAAAAAAAAAGAAAGCACAGCAGGTGGTGAGAGTCAGGGCTGCCACTCTGGGTCAGACCTGGGTTTGACTGTGGCCCTGACACTTTATCTCACCCTCACTAACCTCAGTTTCTTCATCTATAAGATGGGGACACGAGCAGTACGACGGATTAACAGCGGCCATGAACATAAAACGCTGGTGTTACCCTGGAGACAGGTACCGGTGCGGTGGGCTCCCGCTCCACCCCTCCCTACATTCCATTTCCTGGCTGGCCAGCAATAGCCTCCGACCTCCTCCAGTGCTCCTCTGGGCCCGCGGGGCCCTGACACAGAGATGTGAATGTCACCTGCCTGTGTGCTTTTCTAGGGAGGAGTCTTTCATGTATTTATCAAATTCTCAAAGGCTCACCCCGGCTAGTGTGGCTCAGTGGACTGAGCGCCAGCCTGCAAACCAAAAGGCCTCAAGTTCGATTCCCAGTCAGGGCGCATGCCTGGGTTGGAGGCCAACGTTTCCCCCTCTCTCTTGCCCTGTCTCTAAAAATAAATAAATAAAATCTTTTTTAAAAATTCCCAAGAGCTGAAGAGCACATCGTGATCTGCTGTCAGTTGTCAGCACACACAGCACCCTCTCACCAGACAGGCCCCCTCCCAGGACAAGCTTGAAGGGCCTGTAGTGGCGTAGCCTCCAAAGTTGGCCGGGACAGAAAGGTGCGGCCCCAGGGACCCAGTGTGTGCGACCATGGAACAGCCTTGACCACTGTGCCTTCTAGGTCTGCTGACAGGTGGCCTTCCCATGACGAGCACACCTGCCTGAGGTAACAGCCAGGCCCCGCCCCTGCTGGTGCAAGTGCAAACCCAAGGGCAGCAGCGTGCGGGGAAGCAACCTGTAGCCAGTCCTCCAGAGTCCGCGCCGTTCGCCCTGGGGTTCCCTCGCCTAGAAATCTGTCCTAAAGGAATCATTAGAGATGCGGGCAAAGAGGCCCAGGTGGGCACAGATTTCCAGAAAAGCAGTATTTGATCAGCAAGAATCAGAACCAAGAGAGAACTGCTTAGATATCTTACAGTCATACAAAGGAAGCAAAGTTAAACTGTATAGATTAGGGGTCAGGGAGACGGTAGGGCCACCCAGAGAAAAGCACAGACGTGAGCTGCCCATCACGTCCCACGTGACCCACGACACCTGGAAGGCATCGCCGAGGCAGGAAAACACACGGCGTGGGGGGGGGGTCCTATGGTTTTTACTCTCTTCTTGGCAATTTCTGATATTATTTGAATATTATAATATGCATGTATCATTTTTCTAAAATTAAAAAAATGCCTAAATCATAATATGTACCACATTATCTGAATTATGTAGAGTGGAAGAATGTCAAAATATTAAAAGTGATTGGCCCGAATTGGATTTTTCTGAATATAGTTTCTGTAAATTTTTAAATGTCATTTTTTTTACAATGTATGAGAAAGATTACATTGAAATGTGTGCTGCCAAGAGTGGGCGTACTGTTCCTGATCTCAGACCAAAGACCTTTCTCCGTTCAGTCCTTCACCTCCAGGTGTCAATGTCATGTACAGCACTGGACCGCACACTCGGAAACGTACAAGACGGCCAGTCCTGTGTGCAGTTCACCAAACTTTAAAAAGCGGCTGAAAAAAACTCCCACTTCAGGCGCAGGCAGTGCCGGTGCTGACACCCCAGATGCTCTGCTCGCGGCCGGCACCGCCACCCCAAGTCCACCACCTCACAAAAGCAACCAAGAGGCCACCTGCCCCAGGGCAGAGGACGTGACAACTGTTCAACTGAAAGCATCGCCTGAGCCTTCCCTGCAGGCCCAGCCTCAGCGGTGGCTGCAGCTGGGAGGCCGGCCGCGTCACTGGGGACAGCGCTGACCACACAGAAGTGCTGAGCATGTAGCCCGGTCGCATTTTGGAACATCAATGTTTGTCAGTGAAGTGACACCCACAGAAAGACTAGCAATGAAACTCTTCTGTGTGAGACAGCTCTGTCTTCTTGGGCAGAAAACAAAATACAGATCCTCAGGTCAGAGGCAGCCCTCGAAGATTCCGGGGGCAAAGCAGCTTCCGCCCCAACCTGCCGCACGCGCAGCTGAGGGACCGAGGGAGCGCCTGGTGGTCGCAGCACCAGGTGCTGCTCCCTCTCAAGTGACGAGGACAGAGAGCCCTTTCCCTGGAGCCGTTTCAGTGGAACTGGGTGTGGCGAGAGGACCAGGACAGCCATGGCTCCCGGAAACAGACACGCGGTGCCCAGAAGCCTGCCTTACCAGGGGGTTAAGTGGGGAGGGAGCACTGAGTTGCAGTCCCTGAGGTCCTGGAGCTCTTCCGGCAGCATGGATTTGGGGACAAGGCTGCTTCTCAAGACTCGGGCTCTGGACAGATGGTTGGGGTGGGGGGACACATGGACACACGGTCTGGGAAGGAGGGTTAAGCCCCACTGAGCGTCTCCCGAGGTGACACTCCTGAATTCCTGCCTGCCGCACCGGGGAGGGGGGCCCAGCCTGGCCTGGAAGCCATGTGAGCAGTTCTTGGCCACCAGCAGCCGCCCGGCAGACGCAGGCGCTCAACATGCCCGACCACCATCCCGGGACGAAAGGGACAACCGTGAGCAAGTCTGTGCTGAACCGCTAGCCGCAGACATTGGACCCAGACGCAGGGAGCTCTGGGGGAGACCAGAGGTGCGGAGGGCGTGGAGGAGCACTGAGCCTGTCTGGGCATTTTCCTCTCAGAGTAGAGGAGCTGGCAAGAGCCACCGCCCAGTACATTCCTAGAGAGTGGACTGCCTTGGGGGGAGGGCGGGGTTCTGACCGGCGTGGGTTTCTTTCTGGGTGAACGCCTGTCCAGACTACACAGTGGCACAGCTCTGAGTTCTGTGGTGTGGGAATCACATGTCAAAACTGCAAAAAAAGGAGTCCCTAGCTCACGGCTCGTAGGACTTTGCTTTTATTACAGACAAAACCAACAGCCCCAGGGCCCTAGGGTCACAAGACAGCTCAGGTTTACCTAGCAGGTCGGCCCCTTCATCCACGTCCCCGATGACCTCAGACCCCGCAGTCGACAGCTCGTGGTACAGGGAATCAGTGTTGATGCCAAAAGCCTTGTTGACGATCCCCTGGGTTGGGCTGTGAGGACACGCGGCAGAGTGAGTGGGCAACGTCTTCGGGCCGAGTATGGAGACTCTCCAACACCCCACGCAGGCGCGCAGTGCCAACAATCCTCGTGCAGGCACCGGTGCCCCGGACACCCGCCCCCTGGGAGAGGCTGCGGGGCACCCTCAGCAAAGGCACGGCCTCCCGAGGTGAACGCTGGGCTCGCCAGGCCCCGGGCCCGGGCCCAGTGAGTACCTGTTGCCGGTGCGGTCCAGGCGGGGCTCCCGACCCATGTCCAGCTCTGGGGTGGAGTCAATAATGTCTTGAACGTCAGACCACTCGTCACTGCTGCCCATGCCTGGGGGGCAGACAGGACCGAGGTCAGGGGGGTGCGCAGCGGGGCACCCATTACTCATGGCTGTCCTCTCACCCGATGTCTAGACCCCTGCAGACTACTGCCAGGCAGAGACGGTCAAGAAAGGGTTTTTCCACCCTGGCTGGCGTGGCTCAGTGGATTGAGCGCCAGCCTGTGAACCAAAGGGTCGCCAGTTCGATTCCCAGTCTGGGCACATGCCTTAGCTGCAGGCCAGGCCCCCAGTTGGAGGCATGTGAGAGGCAACTGACCAATGTGTCTCTCACACATCGATATTTCACTCCCTCTCTCGCTCCCTCCCTTCCCTTTTCTCTCAATAGAAATAAATAGTCTAAAAATAAAGGGGGGGTTTCCAAGGCTGGTGCCCCCCCCCACTGCCCCCTTCTCGTGATCTTATCTGAACAGGTCACGTGCCCTATTTCCCCTCCCTTTCCTCTGGAAGATGGTGGTCCACCTTTAGACCCTGAGCTGCATCCCCCAAATTCACGTTTGAAGCCCTAGCCCTCAGGACCTCAGAATGCGACTGTATTTGAAGAGAGGGGCTTTAAAGAGATGGCCGAGGAAAATGGGGCCGCATGGGTGGGCCCTGATCAAACCGGACTCCGTTCTTAGGAAAAGAGGGGATTAGGACGTAGACACACTCAGGTGGCCGTGTACGGACGCGGGGAGGAGAAGGCGTCTACACCCCACGGAGAGAAGCCTCAGGAGAAACCAGCCCTGCTGACACCCAGATCTCCAACTTCTGGTCTCCAGAAATAAATTCTATGGTGTCGAGCGCCCAATGTGTGGTGTTTATTATGGCGGCTCAAGCAGGGTGATACATGTACCAAAACTATAATCTGTGGGAGGGAGAGAAATCTCCCTGGACGAGGGGGGAGGGAGGGCAAAGGAGCAGGCAGCGAGCGGACGGGTGCTGCCCGGCCCCGCCCAGCCCCGCCCAGGGAGCGCCCGAGAGCCGCAGTACCGATGCTGACGTTCCGCATCTCCTGCGTGACCTGAACCTCCATGTTGCGGCTGTTGCGCTTTTCCCGGGCCCGCTTGCTGTTCTTGGTGCCAGCGCCGTAGTCCCCCAGGGGCTGCAGGCTCTCATTGAGGGGCGTGACTGCGGCCGAGGGCACGGAGGACGTGGGCGTGTTGGACTTGGTGCCCGTGGTGCTGGGTGTGGCAGCCGCTGAGGACTGGCCTGACTCGGACATCTCATCGTGTGGACACTAGAGCCAAACACAGGAAGAGGGGAAGCTTGTTGTGTGGGTCACGGCCCCCTGGGGCCCCGGACAAGGGCCCCTCACTCGGCTTCTTGCCACTTGACCATAAGAAAACAGCATCCGCCCTGGAAGGGACAGGTGGACCCTGCCCTCCTGCTGGGCTGATTCCTCACGGCCTCGTCGCTTGGCTCATCTAGCCACTGCTCCGGCTTTCCAGAGGCAGCTGCCACCTTATTTAAATGGTTTAGACGGGGCTTTCAGCTTGCACGCTCCCCGATGACGCTGTGTGTGATGGACATGGAGCTGCACGGATATGGCAGGCAACCCTTTGCAGCAGGCGGTGGGGGTGGTCGGAAACAAGCTGCAGCACAGGGTGGGCAGAGGGCTGTAATAAGGGGGCCAGGGAGGACGCCCTCTGATCCCATTACCAATCTGCTGCTTGGCACTGGCTGGCTCTCCCACCCGCCCTGGGGCCTGTGCCCCACCCCAGCCAGCTGGGAGCTGTGAAGGGGCGCGCACCCCTCCGGCTCTGCCCATTGCAGCCTCCCAAACAGAGACACCAGGGGACATGCAATGCTGAACCTCCACAGCTTGGCCGGACCAAAGTCTACTCTACATGTCTACGTAAATACAAACAAGCTGAAATTCCACTTCTGCAGAATGGGACAGTCTCAAGATATTCTAGGAGTGAAAAAACACCAGGTTATTAAAAACTGCAATCAACAGTGAACCTGAAGAATTTTGTGGAGAGAGTACATGCTGCTGGACTAAGTCCGGGACGTGAATCAAACACCTTCTTCTCCTGGTCTCTCCCGATGGAACTGCTGGACAGTCACAATAAAAACAGCTCCCACTCCTCTGTTAACTAATATCGATACCAAGTCACCCTGAGCAGGTGTCTCAGAGCCTCTTCACAGTCCGTGGGCGGCAGCTCCCCTCAATGCCTGTCCCCTCTTTCGTGGTGCTGAGAAGGGGCACAGTCTCAGGGGGGGCTACAGCGGCCCCCCGGGGTGGGGTGCTGCTGAGAGGTGGCTCACAATGCGCATCCCAGTCACCCTACAGGGACGTCACATGGTTTCCCCAGAGGGCACACTTCCGGGGAAACTTTCTAACAGGGGAGGGGCTGATGGGGGGGAGGTTCCACTCTCTCCATAAAGCTGGATGAATGCTGGGACCAACCCGTACCCGCCCCCAACCGGAAGGGCTGACCTCTAGGGGATCGGCGGCCAGGACTGGTTGGGAGACTTCTGAGACCCCGTTTCCTGACCAGCGGGGTCACAGCGAGTCCCTGGGCAGGACGCTGCCCCTCTCTGGGGCAGCGAGTGAGTCCTGGCCTCCTGTGACAGGCTCCTCCTGTCTCCAGCAGGCATCTCACAATCCCACACTCTCTTCCAGGGAGGGGTTCTCAACCTGGGAGCCTGTGTCCCCAGGTGACACCTGTGATGTCCGGAGACACTTGTGCTCATCACGTCTGGGAGTGTACATGTTCTTGGCATGTGGTGGACGAGTGTAAGGGTGTCGCTTGAGCACAGCCCGGACTGCTGCCGCATGGAGCAGAGAAGCCCTGCTGGAGGGCCTGCCCCTCACTCCCCAGGAGCGCCTCTCTCTGTGCACTGCAGTTTGGGCCTGGGTCCCTCCGCGCAGGGCTAAACTGAGAAGGGAAAGCCCTTTCCTCTCCTCGGCACCGGCCCATACTGAACACCTCTGTCATGACTCCCGGGGTGCCCTGTCGCTCCGAACACCAGAGGCCCCTGGGTGTCCTGCAGGAGGGGGCGCTCTGCTGCCACCTGGTCCCATGCGAGCACTTAAGGAGACAAGAGCACAGGAGACCATATGCACAGGGAATTCCGGGCAGGCCTGGGGAGGTGAGGGGCAGGGCCCCTCTCAGGGAGCCACGCCTCCTGTTCCTCATCAGCCCCGTTTCCCGGCCTGTCTCTGACCCTTAAACTTGTACCTGTGGATTTTCCGTGGGTATCCTTGACCTTGGTAATCACTGTGGGAAATTCTGCGACACAACCAAGACACCCCCAAGCTCCCTTAGCTCTCCATCACCCTACGGTCCACCACTTACCCACGGACACTCCCCCTGGCCACCACTTACCTAAAGGCAAACCTCTCAACCTCCTAAACATCAACGTGTGGTAGTGACCTCCAAATGCAAAGAACCCAAACTCTTAGCGGTCTTTCCTCACCATGAGAGTAGCCACAACTGTTTGGTTAAAACACTGAAAATACAGTACATAAAAATAAAAAACAAAACAAAAACGATAAAAAAAATTAACAAATTAGAAAAACCTTAAAACCTAGAGCATGAAGTTAAAAGAAATTAAATTGTTTAAAAGAAGGAAATCAAATAAAACACATCTAAGAACTAAAACATAAAACACTGCAATTTATTAAGAGAAAGACCACGCCAGACAACACAGTGAGAGAGAGAGGACGTCCTGGAAAAGCCGCTCGGACACAGGTGGGAGAAACGACAGTCCAGGAGGCGAGAGAGCAGGCAGGGCCCCGAAGGCTTTCGGAGGCTCACGCGGCTTCTTCCAGAGCTTCCAGGGAAGCCCAGGCTACAGGCTCAGTTTTTGTTCAAGAGAGTGAGTGTGAGCAGCCAGCTTAAATGGACAAGCCTGGCCTGAATGGTGGGGATAACTGGGACCTCACAGGCCCGTGTCCTTCTGCCCAGCCCCCACCCACTGGCAGGAGAGCCTGTAACTGGCAGGTGAGCGCCTGAGTCAAATGTCCCAGACACATGCTCACTCCCTGAAACAAAAGCCAAAGCCACTGGAGTCAGAGTTTGCAGCTACCTCCTGCAGGCAAGCCAGACCCCGAGAGGCTGAGGACAGTCAGCAAGGAGCTACAGCAGAAAGGAAATTTCCAGGACACCTGGGCCCCATGTCCACAGCCCAGCCCTGCCCAGATGCCAAGGCCCTTTGCCTCCTGCAGGTGTCTTCCAGTAGCCTCTACAGGAAATCCACCAGTCCCAGGGTCACCTCCTCCACCCCTGAGGGTGGCATCCTTACCTGACAAGGGGTCAGTCTCCTGTCCTGCCACAGTCTGCCTCCGCCAGACAAGCTGAGCTCATAGACCAAAACTGGCTGCAAGTGACCAGGGAAAGTTCCCGCCCTCGGCTTTCCCAGGGCCCCCCATTCCGGGTGCACAGCCAGGACGTCACCTTCTCATACTCGGAAATCCAGAAGGCCATTACCATGTACAGGCGAGTGAGAACAGCCCAGAGAAGAGAAGCTGCCTCCTGGCCTGACTCTCCTGGTTGCTGAGCAAACCTCAGACGCCAGAAGCACGGAAAACTCTGGGCCAGCACCCAGTCTGGCCAAGAGGCTGGTACTTTGGGGTTTATTTGGGGGACAGTCGCTAAGCTCAGTCCTAAATGAGCACACCCTAACTGCAGAGGGGGTTAGCCTGGACTGGTAGGTGCCAGTGCGAGACCACGTCCTCCTGAACCTCCACTGTCTCCACTGTCACTGCACCTCAGGGAGGGGTCCCACTAACCCAGGAAAAGCTGCAAAGGGTTGTATGCAAAGGCTGGGCTTCCTGAATGGACATGGGGCGACAGGGAGAAGACCCTCACTCCACGGCACGGCTACAAAACCTGGTAGGTGGAGCTGAACTGCAGCTGGCCGAGGTCGCTCAGGTGCCAGTGGTCCCCCGAAGGCACGAGCTTGCCCCCCATCTGTGCACGTACCATGCCGTCGGTCAGGGGGAAGACATTCAGAGAGGTGGGGCGCTCCTTCCTGCTGAAATGTGAGGAAGAGGACAGGAAGCGGAGGGTCAGACCGTGGCTCGCGAAAGAACTACACGCTCTGCACATGCGGATGCCTCTTTTGCGGACGGCACTGTTCTACACGACATCCCTTGCCTGGCTCGGGGGAGAGGTCGGCTGCTGTGAGGCCGTGGTCTTCTGGGAAGCCTGTCACACGTGGGAGCCTCCCGTCTCCTCCTGGCTACAGCCGCTCTTCAATCAGAGGTATGCGCACGCTCAGGGGAGGCTGCTTCGCTGTGACCCTATGAAACACTCCCTGTCTGCTATGTTCTGATGTATCATTTTTCGTTTTGATTTTTAAACAGACACCTGCTGTGTACGCTGAGACACCCCGAAGCAGTACCGGCGAGGGGCCAGCGCTGACCGGCTCCCGCTAGTGACGGCCGCCATGTGGAGCCAGGCAGAAAAATCGGCTCTCGTTGCTTTTCTGCTTCTGTTCTGTTACTTGCCTCTGCCCCTCTCAGTCCCCGTCCCTACTCCTTATTGTTTTTCTCACGGGACCTCACTGAAAAAAATGTTTGAACAGAGTATGGAGCGGGTCCTGACCTTGTGCTAGGGGTCACCCCCTCAACGGCCCCTTCTCTGGCCCTGTGCGCTGTTCCCCTTGTCGCCAGGGAGGGGTTCTTTCAAAGCTGTGCTAGGAGGCTGGGACTGTCTGGTAGCCTAGACTTGGGCTCGTCCCCGAGAAGACACTGGTGGCCCTTAGTACCAGTGAGGGCAAATCGGGCGCTGGTGGTGGAGGAGACAAGGCCAGCTCCCACCCCGCCCCAGAGCAGACGCACTGCACCCCAGGCACCGTCGTCTCCAGGGCTCGCGCTGCTCAGGGCTGTGCTGGCCACACATTACGGCCCCTCACACCTCAGCCTGTCACGCTCAGAGCTTGGTCCCCGAGAAGGAAGTGGAAGGGGTGCTAGGGACCTCCTCAGGGGTTCCAAGGAGCTGGGTACAGAGGCTAGAATATTCTGGAGAGAGATAATGGGTTTCCTTGTGCTGCTGGGTGGATGCAGGTGATGAAGAGGGGAGCAGGGCAACCCCTGCTGACCAGAACTGACTGTGGCCGGGCGGACAGTCCAGCCTGGGGGAGGGGTCTCTCTAGCTGGGGCCGCCACACAGGATAAAACACGAAACCTGTGAACCAAGCCCAGCTTTAGCCCCTCTGTGGCCAGCTCCTCTGTCCCGTCCAGGAAGCTGCTGTCTCCCGTAGAGCAGGGTCCCTGGACCCAGGGGCACCTGGCTGACCCGTCACGGGAGCTGGTCTGTGGCAGGGACAGAAGCGGAGGAGCAGTGGGCTCCCACAGGCCTGGGGCTGCTGATGCCTGAGGGAGCCACGCGGAGGGGCAGGCTCAGGGCCAAGGCCTCTCAGGAAGTGCCTCACATAGCTCTCAACACCTGTGACAGAGGAAACTTTCTCAGTCACGTCAATTAAAAGTTGAAGAAACTCAGACCCTAAGAAAGACGTTAAGTTGGAAAGCTCTGAGTCTGCAGATGCATCAAGACGTCAGTGGCCCACAGCTCAGCGCTCACTCGGGCTCTGACTCAACTCCGCCCTCAAGAACTGAGGCACCTGGGAAGGCAGCCCCTGCCCCATGCTCAGCAGGTCCCTGGAGGAGGGGGGCCAGGGGAGAACAGGCTGCAACCTCCACCAGCTCCCTTGGGGCTCTCAGTCTGTCTTTTGCTCAGTTTTCCTCCTTGGGGCTCCCAGTGCTGGAATGGGGAGCTCCTCTGACCTTGGGTGAAGTGCACACAATGGGCCCCTTGTTCCCAGAGAAGTTCAATCCTAGCTGTCACCAGATGCTATAGGCTAATGGCAGGGGCAGAGTGTGGCATCCTCAAAGGACAGGGGACACCTGTCCGTACCCTGCTCCCACAGCTCTGTGCGCAGACACACACCACACCCGGACAGAGCCAGACCCCTGTCCCCCAACAGAACCCATCACCAGGAATTCTGTCTCACCATCTCTTTGTTGCTCCCCATAGAATCTCAGATGGGCCTATTCTCTGGGCCCCATTAGCGCTTGCTGGGCATTGCTGACTGACAGCCCAGAGCTCTGCCTGAAGCTTGGCCAGTGCCTCCTCTCATTTCGTCCCTGCAGCTCCCTCAGGGGAAACCTATGCTCCTCCCCTTCGGAGACTGCAGCCCAAGAGGGTCGTGCTATCTGCAAAGGTCATGCTGCCTGCGGAGTCACGGTCACACTGCTGGCTCTGGGACCAGGGCCCTAAGTGACTAAGCGAGGTTGTCTGACACCACAGCACAAGGTCTCCCCCACTGCCCACTATGGCAGTGCCAGCCCCAAGCTTTGGATGCACGGTCCCACCCGTGGGCGCATGGACATTCGCTGAGTGGAGCCCCTGCACCAGCATCTACTGCAGGGCCATCTGGGGGAGCTCGGGCCCGCCTGCCGCCGCCTCAGTGGCGTGGCCCTCAAAATGCCCTGTCAAGAGCATGTGGTCTGTAACAAGGCCACAGGAAATGTGTCCGGTGGACTCGGGAACCTCCTGTGCTTGTAATTCCGAACCACTAGAATTCTAACCTTCCCAACCCTGGAGGCCCGCGAGCACCTTGAGTGACGGCGCAAACACTGCTCAGGCTTTACCTTTTCCTCCACGACTGACGAGGACTGTGGACAGCGACATACACAGGCCAGCGGACGGCAGTGACAGCACAGAGAGCAAGACAAGAAGACAGCATTAGAGAGCACACCCAGACACACATCTGCCCACACACAGAATGCATGTGCGACGACCCAGGCAGGTGCCCCACTCCACACTTGAGACAGATGCTGAAACATGCAGACATCTACACGTACGGACGCACAACACACAGACACGTGACCCTCTTAGCTTGGACGGAAGGTCCCAAACGAGGCCTGTGCAGCAGGTCAGCAGGTCACAGTGTGTACGCAGCACAGGGCAGTGGGCAAGTGTGCTCTCCATGTGGCTCACCACACGTGTGCACATGGGCATGCGGGGACGGAGCACACAGCCACACGTGTCCATGAACCAAGCGTTTCAAGCACACGGCGGTTTTTACTCTAACAACACACAGTTCCAGAAGCCAGGCCAGGAGTGAAGGAAAATGCCTGTTGGGGTCAGTGGCAGCCAGAGGCTCCCCGGCACTGAGGGTGGGCCCTCGTGGAGGGGTTAGGGGGCCCGAGTGAAGAAGCTGGGCAGATAGACACGTGTCCCCCAAAGGTCCCGCGCTGTGGCAGGAGAGGCTGCACCCCAGGGCAGAGTGGTCCAGGATGACAGGCAGGGCCTCCCCCTTAGCCCATCAGTGTAGCAGCACGGGTCACAGAGGAATGTCTGACCCCGTGAGACCCACAGAGGCCAGTGTCAGCACACTGACAGAGAGCTCACGCTCTCTCTGTGTCCGTGAGTGTCCTTGTGAAAACGAGAGGCGGTGGTGGCCATCCACGTCTGTTCACCTGGAAACCGGTCCAGGGGCACATGGTTGCCCTCAGAACATCTCGCTCCCAGCAAGTGTCTGGGCCCTGGAGGAACGGCTGCAGGGAAGGCTGGAGTCCAGATGCTGCTGTGGCAAACACGGCACAACCAACCGTGGGCTGCTGATGAAGCTAAATGCCTCCAGCTGGCTGGCCAGGCAGGGAGGGCGCCCAAATACACTGTGCTCCACCCCTATTTCCTGTGCCCTGCTTCCCAAACTAGTGCTGTTCCAGCCACTACCCCACGGGAGCCTGCTCCTCCTTCAGCTGCGGACCTCCCTCACCAGGACTGTGGCTGGCAGCCCCAGGCACCTTCTTCCTCCAGCAGGCATCTCTCTGACAAGGTGGCAACTCTGGATCGGGCAGGTCTATTAACAGAGAGCGCCGAGGGCCTGGAGATGATAGTGACACCGGACACAGGGTGCACACCGGGGCCCCAGGCATCCCTTTCTGCCAGACTTGCAGAAATCTGGACCAGAGCCCCAGCCTCTCCTGGACAGCCAGAGGGTTTGCTTTACAAGTGAAGGAGCTCCTGTGGGCCACAGATTGGTGTGGAGAAAGCCCCCACCTGGCACCACCCCACCACAGGCATTGCTGTCTACTCTGGGCTCCAAAGGCCCCACTGGCACGGAGAAAAAAGACCCACAGGCCCCATCCCCCATGAAGCAGGTTGGAGGGCTTCTTACAAGCAGTCTGTTCTAATTCCCTGGGGAGGAGGAGGTCCAACACAGAGTCTTCAAGAGCTGCTGAGGGGCCTCAGAGGGGACCCTGTGAGCCACCGCATGCAGGTCCAGGATTCATGACCACAAAGACAGTGCCACAGGGCCAGGGGCTTCTCTGGGGAAAGAAGATGCTAACTTCCCACAGGCCTGCCTGCCATGGGGGCTAAAGCATAACTCTGAGAGGTGAGCACACCGGAGGAGCCAATGCTACACTCCTCCAAACTCTGCCAAATGACGCATACTGACGGCAGGTTCCCAGACATGGTCCTGCCTCCACCACACACGGGGGCTGCCACAGAAAGCACAGCCCATCCTGCATTCACAGCGCCTCTTCCATGCAGAGGAGGAATCGGAGGTCGGATTCGGCCCCCGACGAAGACTAGGACCCTCAGGACCCTGCCATGGAGTATGCGCAGCTTCTGCTTTTGGCTGAGCCTACAACATCCTAAGGTTCTGGGGGCATCTCTCTCTGTAGCAAACCCTGTGGCCCAGAGTACTGACCACTGTGACTTAGGACCCTGAATGCTCATGGCCTCTAAGCCCTGGGTTGAGGTCACACATCCTTGGCTCCCAGGAAAACTGCACCCCTCTCCCTGGGCCCAATACTGCAGGACCTTCGAGGGGCTCCTGCCTTGAAGAAAGCTGCTGGGGAAACGGCCTCAGGGCTCTAGAATGCTGCAGCTTGGGGGCTGGCCCAGGGCCCAGTACTCACCAGAGATGCCCCGGCTCAGACTGCCCTGCTCACCTTCCCGCCAAACAACACGAAGACCCCTGATTCCAGAATAGCATTCCAAGGCAGTGCTTTTGGAATTCCCTCACTAACTTATGAGTACCAAGAGTGAGGTTTCATAGGGTGCTCAGGAGAAAATGCCCAAAGCCATGAAACCATAGCTTGGAGATCTGTATTCCCCACTTTCACATATACCTGATACAGGAATAATTCCTGCAGAGTTCTGTAGTTTAACAGTCTTTGATGCACACCCCAGTTCTCACAGGCCTCGGGGCTGGCTAGGGGACAGCTTCCATGCCCGTCTCAAGGGCAGGGGCATTTTCAGCAGCTGTGGGCCCTACTCCCCACAGGCAGCTGCAAGCTGCTGCTCTTCCCATCGCGCCCCCTTCCTGGGCCCTGCTCAGCCTTTGCGTACACAATACATATTCCTTAGTTTTTCTTTTTTAAATTACATGTTACTGATTATGCTATTACAGTTGTCCTGATTTTCCCCTTTGTTCCCCTCCACCCAGCACCCCACTCCCTCAGGCGTTCCCCCTACACTTGTTCATGTCCACGGGTCATGCATGCAAGTCCTTCAGCTGCTCCATTTCCTATACTGTACTTTACACCCCCAAGGCTATTCTGTAACTGCCTATTTGTACTTCTTAATCCCTCACCTCTCACTCATTCTCCTACACCCACCTCCCATCTCTTTATCTTTAACCTTTGGCATTGTAATTATGATGTGTCTTAGAGTGGGCCTCTTTGCATCAGTCTTGTTTGGGACTCTCTGTGCTTCCTGGACTTGCATGTCTATTTCCTTCGCCAAATTAGGGAAGTTTTCTTTCATTATATTTTTCAAACAGATTTTCAATTTCTTGCTCTTTCTCTTCTTCTGGCACCACTATGAAGAGAATGTTGTTTTGCTTAAAGTTGTCCCACAGACTGCTTACACTAACCTCATTTCTTCGGATTCTCTTTTGTCCTTGTTCTGATTGCTTGTTTTTTGCTTCCTTATGCTCAAAATCATTGATTTGATTCTTGGCTTCACCTACTCTGCTGTTGTTTCCCTATAGATTATTCTTTATTTCAACTGGTATTTCCTTCATTTCTGACTGGATCTTTTTTATGCTGCTGAGGTCCTAATTTCCTTGAGCATCCTTATAACCAGTGTTTGAAACTACATCTGATAGACTGCTTATCTCCATTTCATTTAGCTCTTTATCTGGAGTTTTCATCTGTTCTTTTATATGAGCCATGTTTCTTTGTCTCCTCATTTTGGCAGCCTCCATGTGTTTGTTTCTGTGTATTAGGTGCAGCTGCTTCGACTCCGTGTCTTGCTAGTGTGGCCTAATGTAGTGAGTGTCCTGTAGGGTCCAGTGACACAGCTTCCCCTCACCAAAGCTGGGTACTTGAGATGTGCTCTTGGTGTGGGCTGAGTACACTCTCCTCTTGCAGTTGAGCCTTGGCTTCTGTGGGCAGATCACTGGGAGGGATTTACCCAGGCCAATCAGCTGCAAGGACTGGCTGTGACCACTGACCACCAACCTTTGCCCTCAGAGGAGGATCAGCTGTGCAGGGGCAGGGATGTGGTGCTTTGACAGGGTCTGTTACTGTCCACTGGGTGCACTGGCCCTGGGGTTTCCCGGATAGTGCAGGGCAAGATCAGCCCCCACTGGTATTTTTCCCAGGGTACCCTGCCTGAGCTGTAAAGTAATCTGAGATGGTTGCTACTTGTGCTGGGTTTAGAGATTCCCAAGCAAAGTCAGGCTGTGAATCTAGGCTGCTAGTTCCGGGCCTGGGGCTCACTGAGGCCAGCTGTTGCTTGAGAGTATTTAGGAAGTTGTGAAGCACGAATCCTGACCACCCATTCATATGGAAAAGCAGCTTGGGTGGGGTGGAGTCTCTGGAGATCTCCAAGGTGGGTCAAACAGTGTTAGCCAGGTTGATGGAATCTTAGATATGGCATCAGTCTGTAGACTCTGTAGGGGGAGGGCCCAGAAAAGAGACAATGGCCTCTGCTCGCCTGGATGCCAGACACCTCAGCCTCCCCTTGCACACCACTGTTGCCCTTCAAGCTTCCTCCCCAGCACTGAAGCCCAGGGGAAGTGAGTCTGAGTTGGTGCATCTGTGTGTGGGTTCTTTAAGAACTGCCTGGGGCTCCAGCACTTTCTTCCGCCACCTCAATCCCCGCTGGTTTTTGCAGTCAGAGGTTGTGAGAACTTATCTTCCCGGCACTGGAAACGTGGTCTGGGGCCTGGCATGGCACTAAGACCACTCGCTCCCAGGATACCGTTCCCAATTTTTTAGTCACCACACGTGGATGTGGGACCAGCCTGTCTGCGCCTGCACCCCTCCTACCAGTCTGGATGGATGCGGTTTCTTTAATTCCATAGTTGTCAGACCTTCATTCAACTCAATTTCTGTCAGTTCTGAGGAATGGTTGGTCTGTATTTTAGTTATAATTTTGATGTGGTTGTGCGAAGAGGCGAGCCATGTCTGCCTGTGCTGCCATCTTGACTGAAAGTCCCAAAGAGCACGTTTCTGTTTTCACATTTGAAGACTCCAGTACAGCAATAGCTTTGTCCACAGTGACCCACAGAATAACTGAGGATGCCCACGAGGAAGGATCTGAGTCTAGTTGTTTACAGATATGGCCTCATAAGGATGCAGGACAAAAAAACCTTTCGTAGCCAACAAGGTCTACATGTGACCTGACTAGAAGCTGTAAGCCTTTGCCTGCAGGAACACGGGGTCACAGCTAGAAATGGGCCCGTGGCTGAGCACAGTCTGTGGGGCCTGGGATGCTCACCTCAGTCCCTCATCCTGCCTCATAGAGACTTAAAACATTGGTACCAACCTCCCCAGCCCAGGTCAACAACTCTGGTCGCTCATGGGCCAACTCCCTGAAGCTGGCAACACCCTGGAGATCTCTGACCATCTGCTCCTTTGGGGACTGTGGTCTGGGTTTATCTGACCCAGGGGTACAGAAGATGGAGAAGGAGCCTGGCCTCTGCAGGCTTCTCCCCCCCACTCCTCTGATAAACCAGCACTGAGCTCCTGAGCTCAGACAAGCCAGGGCCTCTCAACCTGCTGGCACCAGCACTGTCTGCCCTGCAGCGGGAGTGCAGCTCTCGGATGCAGGGGCCACTGAACGAGACTTGCGCAACACTGTCCCACCCTCCATCTCCGTCCTTCGGGCATCTCTTCATGAGGCTGGGACAAGCAGGAAGTGGTACCTTGTTTGACCTTAATGGGCATCATGTATATTGGGTGACTCAAACTTTTCACCACCCTGCACGTGTCTGTAAATGACTTAAAAGCACTGCAAGTGTTGATTCTGAGACTACAAATAAATTTTAGTGAGTAGGCAAATTCACAAAAATGGAATCTGCAAGTATTAGGTTCAACTGTCCACAACCTCCCCTGGGCATTGGTGACTGCACGCAGGCCGGCGGAGGTCCACCCACGTTCCCTCGCCCCTACTCTAGTGCCTGGGAAAATCTCAGCACGCATTCTTGGTTTAAGCCACACGCTCCGACCAGACGCCCCTCTTCCCGAGTCAGGAGGGTGCAGCTCTCTGGCCTCCCCTGCGACGAAGCACCACTGCGCTCCGCAGGCTCTGGCGCTGCCTACCTTCGCCCAGGCAGGCTGCTGTCAGTCTGGCTGTTTCCCCCAACTTGCTGCATCTTGGACCTCTCGATGTGTTCCACGTAGGTCTGTATCATCTGTGGAGAAGGACACCTCTGTGTGAGTAATGCCTGCTGCCCAAGGCCTGTCTGCAACCCCTCTCTAACTTACAGTGTCCTCGACTTGCTGTGCTCTGGTGCAAATGACGGAGCTCAGCAAAATGGAGCCTGAGCAGCACGAGGCTGACAGCTTACTGGCTTGGCAGTAGAACACCAGGAAAAGAAAAGCCAAGGAGGCAACCCCAGGTCAGCGGCCGCCCCAGTGGTTGCTTTCTTGTGATTTCACTCCAAGTGTGGCCTGTGTGGGCTGGAGGTCATGGCTGGGCACCTACCTCTGTGTGTCGCTGGTGCAAAGCGTTGTACTCCTTCTTCATCTCTGATTCCCGCTCCTCTAATCGGGAAACTGGAAAACAAACAGCTGTTTGTCAACCACACGACCCAGTTCTCACAATTCCGTCCTGCTCTAGGCTTACTGGGTGGAGGGTGGAGGGTTCCAGGACAAGCCTGGTGCAGACCACTGCAGCATCTGAAGCTTAGAGGCTGCTAGCAGCAGGAGAGAATGCCCTTGGGATGCTAGAATGCAGATTCTGACTTGGCCTGGGGTGTGCATCGTTTGTGTGCTGCGTTATTTGAAGCTATTTTCTGCTACACAAAGGGACAGGACAGGTGAAACACAGGAAGCATTACTACCTAAGCTGAAGTTAGCTAGCAGCTTCAGAGATGCAGGCAAAACTCACAGGATGTGTGAAGTGTAGACCAGAAGTGAGCAAGTGGCTGTGGAGAAAGGCAGAATTCATAAGTGAATAACCTCTAAGGTATGGTAAAGAGCCAAAGCGTACCCACATCTGAGACACACGACAGACACACAGTGTCCCTTACACGGGTATACCAAAGGCTAAAAAAACCAAGTCATGACTATACTACCTGCAGGCTGGCAGCTGTGTCCCCCTACATTGGCAGTCCCTGTGACAGGATGGTCCCCTCTGGCCCGCATATGTTCTACCACCTGACTGCTCTGAGGGGAAGCTACAGCTGGTGACCACACCCCTACACCTCACCGACAGGGCAAGCGTGCCGCTGGACCCAAAAACCTCCCATCTGTGGTCCTTTGTTCAAACTGCAACTCTGTCCTTGTAGTCCCACCAAGAGGGGACAGCTGATATGCAGAGCCGGGGACAGAACACACGACAGTCATGGGCCCAGAACTCACGTGGCAGTCCTCCCAGCACGCACCCTGCCCTCAGCATGTGAGCCTCTCCATGTGCCCCACTTTCTGGTTACTGCTGTAAACTGACTGAACAGCGACACTACTCAGCACCCCACTCAGTCCCTATGCTCTCCTGTCCCACGGTTCCTGGTGCAGATTCCCCAGCAGTGTCCTTGAAGGCTACACTGCCAAGGTCGTTCCCTACCAACAGGTAGAGCCTCAAAGCCTGCATTTCTAACACTTCAGATGATGCTGACACCGCCGGTCAGAGGACCAAACTTTGAGGAGCAACAGGTATTTGCACAAAGCAGAGTAACAGCTTGGTCATCCCTGGAAGAGCTCAAAGTGCCTACAGACTCTGGCACGTACACACATAGAACTCACTGCCAGAGGAAGGCCCCACCCCCGGCCGCTGCTCCAGCCTTGGGAGGGGCTGGCCGTCTGTGCACGAGTCCCAGGAGGGAACTTCGGGGTCAGAGTCCCACGACCTCTGCTGACCTCTCCGCTGGGGCAAGTGTACAGACCGCTGCCCAGAGACTCCTCCTCTGCTCCCCTCTGGCTCCCGCTCCTGGCACTGACCAAGGGATCGACTTCAATCTGTAATTTGGCGCTTACGTGTTTAAAGGTTTCACTATGAAAAGTACTCTAAGCAAATCGAATGTTAAGGAGTCTGTGTGGTTACAGAAAGGGTTCACCTGTGCATGCCTAAGCTGGGCCTTTCCTTCGCGTCTGGTGTGCAAACACAGGCATGCAAACACGGGTGTGTTTGTACACACATGCAGCCAACGGACCACTGGTTGCCCAGAACTCACCACCACCCTGTGGGGGATTGGCCTTTAAGTCCTGGTTTGGGACAGGGATAGACCCAACACATCCAACCATTTTTCTTCCCAATTTTTATCTTAAGTTTTCAGGGAAATGAAAGCTCCCACCATCCAAGGGAACTAGGTAACGCAGCAAACTAGGTCTCCATCATCAAAACCTCTAACTACAGAAAACTGAAATCACACAGATCATTTTAACTTTGACAGTACAATTTCAACAAAGACTTCTGAAAAGAACGGTTCTTATCCCAAGAATAATCAAAAGCCCCTTTCTTCCCCTCTCCTTGCAAGGAGGAGGAAGGAACCTATAGGGACCTTAATCAGGTCCTAGGAACTGTCACTCCAGGGGGCTGCATCATCAAGCCCAACTTCCAGGTCACAAAACAGCGATCTTTCCTCAGTGGGGTGTGGACAAGAGCCTTGCAGGGCGGGGAGGCAGCTGGGGAGCTTTGTCCCAAAGGACCACACGAGGGTCACAGACCTGTGATCTGGGGTCAGACAAGCAGTATGTGCAACAGTGCGGCATCACCCAAGGAGCCTTAATTATTTACTCCATTTCCACGAAGAACTGGAGGCTGATTACAGAAATACACAGCAGTGTAATGGTTGAAGGAATCCCAGAGAAAATAACATCGGGCTATCACTGGGTTTTCTCACTCAGTTTATCACAGGCTCTCCACGTCCTGCCCAGCTGGGGCGGGTCCGAAAACAACAAACAATGCGATTTCAACCCTGGCCGGCTACTTACTCTGATCTGCATAGTTTTTGGCCTTCAGTTCCAGCTGGCGGGTCTGAAACTCATAGTGTTCCACCTGGATTTGTAGCTCTTTCTTCTCTTGTTCCAAGGCATCTTCAAACTCAATGAATTTCTGCACATGGAAGGGAAAGAGCCGGTGTCATGAACGTGCGGTGGTCAGGCGGCAGCAGCCCTTTTTGGAAGGGCCACGGGCTTCAAGGACCAAAGCGAAAGACCAGGCTCGGGCCATAATGCAGGGCTCCCCAACCCAAAACCTGCTTCCCTTTACGTCACATTCCCTGTCACCTTCTTCAGGCAAACCCTGACACAGACCACAGGGGCAAGAGTGACTGACTCTGTAACCTCGTAACCAGCCATCTGGGAAGACACAGGAGGCCCCCATTCTTGGTTTAATTTTGGAACTCAGGAAATTTTTAACAAGGTGCCCTGCATTTCCATTTTTGCACTGGGCCCCACAAATTATGTAGCTGGTCCTTGTGCTAAGTTTCTGAGCAAAATTATCAAACCAAGTGAAAAGAAAGCCCTTTGAAAAGTAAAAGAAATTCTTGAAAGGTCATAGGAGGAGACCTAGCTTCACACTGAAGCAGCTTGTGAAGCCAGCCTCTGGTGGGGGCAGGGATGAGCACTGGCAGCCACATGGATGCCACCAGCTACAACTCCTGTGACAGCCTCAAGGGGGAGCTGTTAACACCTCGATATCACAGTACAGGAAAAAATACTACTGAGAAATTTCATTTCATTTGTAGTGAGAACTAGTATCAGCTGGGTTAAGACAGAGAGTTTCTCAGATGGCAATAAGAAACATCACTGATTTTAGGTCTGGGGTATCTCGAAAGGTCGATTAACTTGGGAAAGCCACAGCTGCGTTTCCCCTGATACCTACACCCAGTCCCCCGACCCTGACACTGGGCCCTAGAGACACTTCCTCTGCCTGCAGAGTTTCGAAGGTCATTGTGCTGAAAACCGCTGTGGGGCGGGGTGGCTCCCGTCCCAACAACGACTTACTCTGTGCTGGGACTGAGAGGGTGGAAATCCCAGAGGAGGGGTGGGCAAGGGAAGACTTGGCTTCAGGAAGAAAGTCTGTATCAATGACATCACAGTAATTTAAGTAATATGAATAAAAAGAAAATGCCCCGCAGCCAGGAGAAATCAGTGGTTTTGAATGACCGTGGATATAACCAACATATGAAAGTTGAACAAGTGCTCTTGATTGACTGGTAAAGATATGTTTTAAATTAGGTCATTTTAATTCCTATTACTTAAAAAAACTTAAAAGCATGGCATAAACAACATATGCTTTTGTAAAAAAAATCATATGAGAATGTTAAGTTAGAAAGGAGAGTATTTCTTAAAAACCATAATTCTACCGCCCAGTTTAAATTGGGCAGGTTTGTGTGTGTGAGTGAGTGTTTGAGTGTGTGGGGCAGACCGCGATCACTTTGCACAGTGTTTCGTGTCCGATTTATTCCTGCGTTTAAACTGGAGCATCTTTCTACACGAAGAAACAGATTCTGCCACTTCCATTTTTAGTAGCTGTGTGTTCCACTGTATGTGTACATGAACCACAGTTTACTCATTTGATGGCCTATGGCTCTTTAAAACGTCCGTTACTACCACTACTGCTTGTGTATCTGCCCGGTGACTCCCTGCTATCTGAGGCCGTGGCTCCACACTGCTGATGACCCTTTGGGTGGGTGGGCGTCCCAACTCCTGCGCCCTGCACAGGGGTGGTCCCCTCCCCCAGAGCTCTCACCAGCTTAACGACACTGCTGCCCCTCTCACAGGTAGGAAAATGGCCTAGCAAATCCAGTTCCTTGATTGCTGGTAAATATTTTTCATAAATTTATTGGTAATAAATAGTCATTTCTCACATGCATGTCAACAGCTTCTGCGACTTCAAGTGCAATAACTTATAACAAAGGCATTTTACCATAGGCTAACTGATCTAAACAACAGTTAAGTTCCTACGGCATCTTATCAATATTATAACAAAATGACCTTGAAGAAAAGGGCGTTAGCTGAGGACCTGATGTACATCACTTCTTTTGTGAACAGCTCCTATGTCCTTTGGGCCACTTCCCACCAAACGTTCATATTTTTGTGAATGGTGGGTAAGCACCTTCATTCTACACCCATCACAAGTCTGCCGGCCTCGTGTGCTGCAGGTACTGCCCCCAGGATGCACTGCTGTGCGTGTATACAGAGGTTTACTTACTTCTGAGCTGTTCACTTATTTAACGAGTTCTCTCTTCCTCATTGTTTGGAAATGCTACCTTTATCATGTGCTAAATTCTAATATATATTTCAATCTATTTCTGAGCCAGTACCAAAGGCCTGCAGTGTTACAACGTCTTTTAACAGCGGATACGTATTCACCCTCTTGAAGTCTCCTTTTAAACATTTTTGCTTGGTTATCCCCACTGGTTTATCCTTCTAGATACTCTGAGAATCATCCCGAATCACACATTTATATTTTGAATAAGCCCGTCAGAAAGCAGCAGTCCTGTGGCCGTCGGGAGGAGGTCCCTATTTCTGATCACAAATGCTCAAGGCCAGACGCAGGATGCGGTGAAAACCCACCCTGAGCCAGTGAAGAACTGTGATGGGGCAGCTGAAGCTGGGACATGGAAGAGCAATCACTGTCCTACCTCAAGAAGGTTTTATACAAAGAAAAGGCTACTATCATTTCACTATAAGTTTTTCCCATCTATATTTCATCATATTACCTGTATTTGATATTTGGGAGTCAGCTAAAAAGATTTTCAAACTGAAGACAATGTAAGAAAACTCAACGGGCCTGTGAACCAAGCGGTTGATTCCTCAGGACATACGGGTTGGCCTTCCTGCTGCGGCAGGGAGAAAACGGTTCCCTCAAAAAAAAAAAGCCCCTCCACTTTCTTAAGGTCAGACAAACTTTTAAAAATATTTTACTTATTTTATTTTTAGACAGAGGAGAAAGGAGGGAGAGAGGGAGAGAAGAAGCATCAGTGTGTGGTTGGCTTTTGTGCGCCCCCTACTGGGGGCCTGGCCCGCAACCCAGGCATGTGCCCTGACTGGGAATTGAACCAGCAACCCTTTGGTTCACACAGGCTGGCGCTCAATCCACTGAGCCACACCAGCCAGGGCCAGACAGACTTTTCTAAATCTATCCAGATAGGTGATCATTGAAATCCAACATAGCCAAAAACTCTTGTCATGCCAACAAATCCCCAGGCCTATATATTCCTGATGAAGTTGGCCCCAAACCAGGTCACATGCCGAAATCCTCTGACTATGGTATTTTAAGGCCTTTCAGCATCAGGAAATACAGAGACATTAACCTAGAGAGATAACATCTATATCAGCTGTGTGCGTGGACAGCCTGAAGGCCAGAGGCAAAGACCCAGTAGAGGCAGGGAGATGGATCCCACGAGGGTGGGTTGACACACAGGATGTTTGTGGTTCCCTGGTCACATGGAATCCTGGTGCCAGAGGTGGTCCCGTGGGGCAGGAATGCTCAGGCCTTGGTGACTGACATCCTTTCCATCCTCCAGGCACTACCAGCTGACAAGGGGTAGGAGTGCTCACAGGGTGCAAGCCCCTGCATGAACAGAAAGCCCCAAGAAACCCACAAGGGACTACCAGCAGACTCAAGGGGACCCTGGCCTTGGCCAGCCTCACCCTCCCTGCCGGGCTCCAGGGGCGCCTGAGCCGGGTGAGGACCACCACTGTCCAGTGTGAGACCCTCCCCATCTCAGAGGTCTGCGGCACCTTTCCCGGGCCAATGGTGAGGGACCGGTAGGGGCTCTAGGTTTTAAGAAAATGTTACCGACACAACATGATGCTCTATAGCTTAAAAGAAATCCTCCTCTTTCTTCCCCTCTTGAAAAAAATCAATGTCATTAAGGTAACTGTAGTTAGCAAAAATGGAAGCTAGCCATTTAACTGTATGGAATACACAATCCTCATCAAGTATTATAAGGAGTCACTGATGTGAAGGAGCAGTGCCTGGCCAAGACCAAACATATACTTAGTCCTTGCTTTTTATGAGGCCATGCTCAGGGCTTGACTTGAGATGAAGTAAAAATTATCTTGACAGGTGAAGAGTAGTGGATGGGGCCGAATATAAAGCAGAAGTTTGCGCTGGTGTCAAATAAATAGAAGAGGAAACGAAGTTGCAAATCAAAATTCTCTTCCAACCCAAGGGAGGGAGCTGGGGCGGGTGGGGAACCACGTCAGTAGGGGATTCTTAAACCGGACTGAAGTGAGAAAAATTCAAAAGGTGTTTTCAAAGAAAAAAATATTTTTATTTACAGATCGCTTACTTTAGATTGAAAAGAATCAAGAACTTTTATCAGTCGGGGACAGTGTAGGGTAGAAACTAAGTTAAGTCTATTAAGGAAGTCTTCTGTAAGAAAAGTAAAGTAGAAAAAAAAAGGTAGAAGCTGACTACAAGAAAACATGAATGAAACTGAGAATAAAAATGTAGCCCCCGCACTCAGGTTGAGCGGGTCCGCACGGTGCTCACTGGATTGTACGCATGTCTCGACCGGACTGGTGTGGCTCAACTGCTGGGGTGAAAACCTAAAAACCGAAATGTCTGTTCAATTCCTGGTCAGGGTACACGCCTGGGCTGCCGGTTTCACCCCGGTTGGGGTGCGTACCAGAGGCAACCCCATCGATGCTTCTCTCTCATATCAGTGTTTCTCTTCCTCTCTCTCTCCCTTACACATACTACGGATTTGAGTTTATTTGGAATTATCATCTGTCTAACCAAGTCTGTTCAAAATGTCAAGTCGTACATGGAAACCCACGGATGTTTAAGGTTACTTTTATGACAAACCTTTAAGTGCCCCCAAAAGCAGTGACAGCAACTTTTGGGAACCGCTCTGCCTGGTTTCAGGAGTTGTAACTACGCCCATGGCTAAGGCTGAGTGAGCGACCTCCAGAATGCGAGCCACTTACGAGACAAAGCCTGTCTCTGGTAGCAAACACTGGCTCTGCTTCATCCCCTGCCCCTAATGCATGGTCGGTTAGTCCGTGACGGGTCCGATCCTCAGAGGAGGGACAACCTAAGCCAGACAGGATCACTTCCAAGGCCATCAAGGAAGGACTCAGGGGGCTGCAACAAGG